AACAATCTTTACCTCTTCCCTCGTTGGGAATGCTGGTTAATGGTACTGACATCAAAGTATACTAGTTTTTCGAGTCCTTGATGCTCTGGACAAAATCACCAGCGTCCGTAACATGATGGTCTGGGCATCCAAATTCAAAGGTGCACTTACTATCTTATCTTCGAAGCTAGCCAAGGTGTCATCATGTGACATAGGGGTGGAATATTGATCACCTGATAACAATTAATCACATTTATATGAGGAGGTGCATGAATGAAATGTAGGGTACTTCACCCCTGTATTCAGCCTCTTGGTGCCTGCTCTTCCACAGGACTACTGTGTGTTATATGTAAGCTTTAAGTCACCAGCAGTGAACAAACATATGAATTATTTTTAAAAAAAGGTCTTGGAGCAACATGTTTAGTGTTGGTTCGTAGATGTATATGTATTCCATCTCAGCTACCTCTTCTCTTCCCTTCCTCTTTTCCTCTCTTCTTTTTCCCACAAATATCTGTGTGCATGGAGGGAAACTGGGTCCACTAAAAACAAGACTGTCTGTTGTAATTCCAGCAAAACTCATCCTGCCACCAGGCTTGTAGTGATCTTGTACTCTAACCATCCTCCTACCATCCACCCAACATCTGCAGCGCTCCAAGCGCAAGAAGACAAATTAGACTAGGATATGTTGTTCATAGTTCATCCAGACTGGTGTTGTGATGTTGGTGTGGTGTAAACTTCACCTTCTCTCTGAGCAGCAGGGCTCCTTGTTCTCACCATGCCTTGACAAGGAGGAAACACTCATAAGAGGATAATTGGGCCCCTGACACTTTTCTCAGGCTGTACTGTGGAGAAACTCATTCTGCTTCTCTGTAGGCGCACTTACAATTTCCTTAAATGTGCTTCCAAAGCTGCAGGGGCCATATGACTTCTGCATCGTGTTCACAAACTGTCACTGCAATATTTCCAATGTCCTTCAGCTTTGCTTCAGCATGCTAAATGGTGACATAGCAGCACAGAAAAACTAGGACATTCGAAAAAAAGAGCCTACTTTAAACAATAACCCCACTGTTCTCAAACTCTGTAAAGCATGTCTCTTTCCATCTCACCTGTAGATGAGTTAAATGTGCCAGTCCGTCAACAGATGGCAAAGGGCAGACCTGAAACAATTTACAGATTTGGCAGAGAGTTGCAGAGAGAAGGGCAGTAAAAGTTCTGCCTCTGATATAAACACACTTTCTGGCCTGGCCTTCACCTCTGTCCGCATGTGTGCAAAGAAGGCACCATGTGTGTGTGAGAGAGAGAGAGAGAGAGAGAGAGAGAGAGAGAGAGAGAGAGAGAGAGAGAGTCTGGCTCTGTGCCATCCACCTTGCACAGCCCATTTTTAGATGGACTATGGGGAGCTTTTTAAAACAGCCGCCGAGCAATCTCACTCAATCATGTTATTCATCACTGTGTTTTTGCAAGTCACACAAAACTATCTCCGCTTCTGGTAGAAGACTGGCATTGTCTAGAATATGTCACTGCAATTAACTGTAAACAGCAAAAAAGGCTCCTGAAAGCACTGACACAAAAGAAACCAAGAGTTTGTGTACATTAGAAAAAGAGTCGAATGGGATTCAGATATTTAGAGTTATTGCTTTAGTGATGGTACTGACTGGATGTGTCGGTGCTCAGTTTTCAGTGAAGCAGCAATATGGGAAGGATGGGCAGCAGTGTTTTACCATAATCTACCCCAGAAATGAATTCTTTAAGGGTCATTTCACCCAAATTGAAAACCCTAGTGGCATCTAGCCATGCACATAATTTGATGTGCCTTTAACATTGTACTTTTAAACAATTACTGTGAGGCAACTACTTCCTGTTATTGAAGGTGTATTGATCCTGTAGCCGTACACCAGTGTCAGGTAGCACCGTTCCTAGTGTACACTTTGAGTCTGACCTCTTCATATATCTGCCATGATGCACATACACATCCGCCCACATGTGAATGCAGCAGCTGGTAGGAAATATGAGATGCATGCAGTCTCCTGCAGATAGACTTTCCTCCACACTTGCTTTTATTAGTACACCCGGTATAAGGTCCAGCAGATGAGTGACAGATTGGATTTAACCTTCATTTACCCTGTGAGTGTTTGCTGAGTTGGCTTTTATTAGGTGCCTCAGGTTCTTTAGCAGCAGATGTTTAGAGGTAGAGATGAATGTTCCTTTTTTCCTTCACCTACATTTTTCCAATCAGCAGGTCCGTGGATCGCTTTTGCACCAGTACGAGACACAGAGGATTGAGAGTGAACGAGTTGAAGGAGTGAATGTGGCTGCACATAAGAATTAAGTATAATAATCCACCAAGCAGCATTGCCAGGAAATAGAAAACACTATTCCCGTGTCAGACATCAGCTCAGACATATTGTTATGCGAGGATGAGTGTGTGAAGCTAAATATCCCTGCCAGTGTCTCTTTGGTCCACTGGGGGCCCTCCATTGACTGGCTGGTAGATTCATTTACTATGGGAATGAATGCGTTGAGCTACAATAAACACAGTAAAATAGCAAAGGCTTTGTGTTCGTGCAGCTCACAGAGGTCGATGGTGTATGATATGAAATTTATCTCTGAGGACGATGAGTGGAGTTTGGCTGGCTGTGCTAATGATCTGCTGCATTCAAGGATAATTAGTTTTGGCTCTTCTGGCGGGTTTCAAAGGGATCGGGATACATTTGTTACTGTTTTACAAATAGTTGGGGCATTTGCCCGTAACTGGGTCAAATCAACTGTACATATGAATCTCACTTTATATAAAGCATGAGTGACGATACCCTGAGGCTGCAATAGATACACTCACTATACTGTGTTAAAGAGTTTCAGATCCAGTTTGATAAAAATGTAAATGTAATATAATGATATAAAACATTAATAATGAGACAATGATACACTGTTCACATATTAAAATAGGAACAATAGGTTGTGTTATGGCCTAAACATTGTGAAAGCTTATATATTTATGGACTTGTATAGTATAATAATGAATAGTATCCTGTAGTCATCAATACACAGGTCTCAATTCCAGCAGAGATGTTTAATAGATATTTTGTTCACTGCAGACATTTGACATGTCATAGAAGGAAAACACATTTGTATTTATTTAACAATATTAACAATTGTGATAAATAATAAAATAAATAAATAATAAAATAAATTCCATTTATGTGTACCTGTTTCTGGGCTCTGGTATTTCACATGCTGGCTCACTGACAAGGCTTAGTGGGACAAATAAATAGAGAAGAGACATAATTAATGTTATTAGTTACAACTGTGTCCTTCCTGTTATGACAAGTCAAAATGTACTGTATGCTGTGAAAACAACTCTCACAAAAGATTCCACATAGTTCCTTGGGACCATAGTTCCTCACAAATTATTATTTTATCAACGTAACGGGGAAACGTTTATGAAATGTCTCTGACTGAACATATTTGCTGGTAGCAATTACACCGCCTTCAAAATTGAAATTAAATTCCAGGAGACGGGTTGGTGAAAAGGTCTGTCCTATTTTCAGTTTGCAAGCTTGTGTGAAAATAAAATCCTTCTAACAGAGCCTTCACATCACCACCAGAGCTCCACAAACATGTAAATGACCTAAGCTGACGCTGCAGGTTAGACCGCGCCACACAGAGTCAATTACATAAAGATGAAATGAAATGAACCTGCTACAGGCACAGATGTTCAGTGTTAGAGATCATACAGTGGAAATGTGTTAAATTAAGCATAAGGCATAAGAGGTATTGAATGAAGCACATGCAAGATAAGATTTCTATAGTCAGACTTATAATGAAGGAATCTCTGAACTGGTAAAGCTTCTGAAGCTCATATGTTTTTACATTTGGTACATTTAAAACTGCTTTAAGTGCAGAAAACCCTTTTATTTATCTGCTGTAACCTGCAGTTGTGATATCTTATTTATAACTTTATTGAGTGTGTCTTCCAAAGGTCCACAAATCCCCTTGGAACTAGTTATAGTAGGAAGCAGGAACACTTTCACCCCTCCTGTCAAGAATAATGGATATTGGAGAGTAATTTTGCACCCAGAGGGCTTGTATGACTGATGAGTCACAGATATAGCATTTTCTTTCATATAATTGGTAGCCAATACATGAGCCAAAACCACCTTTTGATTTCAGATTTGTGCAGACCGTAGAAGAAGCTCTGATATCAGTTTTGATATGTCTTAATTGATGCTGCAAGCCACAAAACGTTGTTTGGACAGCAACCTTTAAATCTGCAAACAAATACATAATTATAGTAGAATTTACCTCCTGTGTAATTAGCTCAAATCTCTCTTGAATCAATTTATCTTCCGTACTATCCTATAAACAGCCACTTTAATGTTGAACAAATAGACAGTGAATAAATACATTAAACAAGTGAGGCTACAATATAGTATGTTAGTAAATAGTATAACTTGCTAGTTTTCTTTTCTCAATAAAGAGCTTAGGAGCTTAATATGTCACCTTTAATTACAAAACAAAAATGTTGATAGTATTTCATTTTATTAGTTAAACTCTGCTGGTGGATGAGTAATAGCTGTGAATGAGCATCCTTCACACCCTCAGAGCCCCTATAGAAAACGACCTTTACCTCCTACTCAACCATATGGGATCATTTGATACTTTATCCAAATATGCAATGTTGAAAATAAGCCAAAAGTGTCATTTTTTTTGTTTGTTTCTATTGATTGTTTTGTTCTCTTTTTCTTAGCTCTCTTTGTATTCCCTCTTTCCTTTTTTCTCATGAAACCTGCCTCATGTTCTTCATATGAAAGCCCGGACTTGTGAGGTCATACGTAGACCTTCTACATGTTTGTGTTAAATTCCCCTCATGTTATGACCTGCTGAGCTGTGCATTAAATCAGCCAGAGCAGGCAGCTAATGGGAGCCAAGGTTGGGAAACTTTGGCCTTGTTTTCACAGTAGTGGCGAAGAGTAGAAAATACAATGTGGAAATCAATTTTGTTCTCCTTCTCTCTCTTGCAGTCTCAGCAGAAATGCATTGTGATCTTTGCCTTGGTGTGCTGCTTTGCCATACTGGTGGCGTTAATTTTCTCAGCTGTGGACATTTGGGGCGAAGATGAAGACGGGATCACAGAGGACAACTGTAGCAAGAACTGCAGGTGAGAACTACAGAACCACAAGCACACAATTCATTGTGAGTGGTTCCTAACATTGGTTAATGGTTACAAGTTCTGTAGACCTGTGTTAAAACAAAGGTATCTTGCTTCAGGTACAGGTGAGACATGAAATCCAATCCAGTTCATTTTCAGTCACATATCCATGAATTTGAAGCACTACACCACAGTTTAATGTATTTTCATTATGTATATGTACTCTCAAATTTCAGACTTCCACAGTTCTCAAAAGTACCAGAAATGTTCTATAAGAGACAAGATGGATTTGTCACAAAACATAATGAACTATATATACAGCTATAATAATAACTTTTATTTATTTCAGCTACAGGGATTTAGAGAACTTTGCTTGCAGTTTTTGGAAATAACAGGAAATAAAGAATATGCAATAGGGGTATTACTATTTCAAGTATTCAGCTCTGTTGACCACCACTTATTATTGTAAAAGAATTACAAAGATATAGACTTGCAGAAGGGTAGCACTCTCCTGGTTAAGATGGTTAATGTCCAAATAAATGACTTCATATCACAACTACTGAAAATTATTTTGGGGGTTCCCTAGGGCTCAGTGCTGGAGCCATTGTTGTTTATATTGCTGGCAAACATTTTGATCTTCTGGATATGATGGGAAAATAATTGAATATATCAAAGAGCTGGTTGGATTCTAATACATGAACTCTACATTTATGGAAAAACTAAGTTTATAATATTTGGGAACTGTTTAACTCAAACAAGCAACTCACTGATAAATCGGTTTCTTGAATTATAGTAGTATATAGTAGTAGATAGTAAACTATGCTGAAATCACATATAAATTATACTCAGAGTACTAATTTGAACTTTTCACTTATCCTACCAGCTTCTATTGTTGTACACTCTGGTTGAATTTGATTGGTTTCAGCTCAAAAACCGAACTATAAAGCAATCCCAGCCTGTGTCATGTTGCAGTCCAGCAGGTCTAACTTTCTGGCACAAGATGTAAACTGCAGTGTAGGGGCTGCACACGCCACAGCATTGCTTGCATTCATTTAAACAGAGTATTCTGTTGTCTCAAATATATGTGATAAAGTAAAAAATGCTACCTGCCTGCTGGCCTGGAATGATTACCAGGCTCGCTACTTAAGCAAGTTTCTACTGTCTGTTTAATTTTTAAGAATATGGATCCCCAGAAAAAAAAGCCTGAAACCCACTGCAGCAGCAGAGGTCCAGAATGAAAGTGGCTGATCAGCAGTCGTTTTCTCTGATACAGCAGTCCCTGTCCTCTCTGCTCCGCTTCCTACTGGTTCTCCTCCTTTAGACTCTTATCATCCAATTTACCATTAAGCCTTGAATGCTTCTCTCTCTCTCTCTCTCTCTCTCTCTCTCTCTCTCTCTCTCTCTCTCTCTCTCTCTCTCATTCATTATGTCTGTGTCCATCTACTCTCTCCCTTCTCTTCCCCAAATCAGCCATTTAACAACCTTTCAGGAAACTCGACCAGGCATCCCTCTCTTCCACTCAAGGCTGAAAGTGTAATCCCAACTTGAAAAGCTGAATTGGACTCCTGCTCTGAAGGACCCCTAAAGCTTGGGGGTATAATGAGAGATAAATACAAGGCTGAGGAGGAGGATGATGGGAAGCGAGCATGAACCAGATGGAGGGAGAAGAAGAAGAGGATATCAGGGTAGATTTGGGGTTGGAAGGAGAGAGAGATGAATAGGTTCATCAACTGTTATTGGCTTGCTGTCTGTGATGATGGAGGGCTTGTCAGTTCAAGACTTAATTCCAAACAAATTTCAGAAATATGTGCTGTCATTTCTCCAAGTATGCACTGTTATTTAGACCCCATAGGTACAATGATAAAGTTTTACTGTGACATGTATCATTTGAAAGACCCATGAGGTGTGCAAGTGTAACATAATAAATGATTTCATGAAGTGTTTTGCTCAAAGCAAGTTGCAGTACAAAAGTGATAGATTACTGTGAGGCTGACACATTTATAATGGGGTGCACAGAGGCTTACCCATGCTCACCTAAATTCCTAAAGGTACTTGTAATTCATCAAAGGAAATGCATGTAATGCCCTTTTCAGTCACTGCCATTTCTTACACCAAAAATGGTCCAGTAATTGACTTACAAATGAAATCTGAGACTATTTCTACTGAATTATATAAATACAGCAGACTGGTCCTCTATCTTGCCTTTTCTTTGCAGCCATTACTCTCTTTTCACAGTAAAAAACACCTACTCTTTTTGAGCCTTAACAGCCCATATAATGACTCAGCAGTTTTTTTGTTTGCGATGTTGCAATTTAGACATGTCACACACAGCTGGTTGTTTTGTTATGTAGATTTCCCTTTAATCTGTTTTTGTCTGCATAATGCATAATAATTCTTGCATCTCAGGGACAGGAGACCGGAGATGGGTTGCTGCAACTATATCAAACACATAATTAATTTGATTTCAATTTTTCCCTCTCTGGATGAACAACTTTGGCTGTAATTGCAGTAAAACATGATTCCTCTTACACCTGGTTCACACTGCCGACCTGAGCAGCGCTTGATAGCTGCGTCTGGTTCACGCGCATACTGATTACACTGACAGCATGTCAGATGTGTGGCTGCTGCGGAAACGCTGCTGCCAGTCCTATCTGTCTATACTGGGTTTGCCTTTGCCCTAAATGTAGTACAATAAAAGCCTTGTTAACATGTGAATGGAATCTGTCCACAGAAATGCCAGAGAGCTTTTAATCTATAACATTTTATACATGTCTGTGACATATTCTACAGATACAGACATTGAAACTGTAGTGAAAGGTGTATATGTTGCTGGTATATTGTTAATATGACTATGAACAGATCCTTTTCCCTGTCACTTTTTTCGCTGTGAACCGCGTGCGGAAAAAATAGGCGAGAGTGGAGCTGCCGCAGCCGAGCGCCATCAGGCGGCCTATGTATGTATGTAAAATTAGTAAATGACAGTCTGATGTATCCCTGATGTACATGTGTAATTGCCTGGTGTCAGGCAGCAGATAAGCAGGTTAGTATTGATCTACAGTTGCCTTGTTGTGAAGGGCAGAAATAAGTCTTGGAGAACTAGACGTGCCACATCAATTTTGTGTAGCTTTTAGCACCTACTGAACAGTCGGCTGCTTCAGGATACAACATTTTAAAACACTGTACATGCTCCTTCCTTCCATCAGTATCTTCAAAATGGCAGGGTGGTTCTTGAATGAATTTGAACTAATTCTGAGATACAGTGTTGTGATTGTTACATATTCCAGTGACCAGCGATGTCTATCAGTGGTCAAAGAGTGTCTTACCCAGATTAGTTTGTATATTAATTTTCCATGTGGTGTCATACAACTGCACTATATGTCTCTAGAGCTTCTTCTGCCCCTTGCTTAGCAGGTGAGTCCTTAGATTTAAAAGCAATTTTGTCATCTACAGTGTAGAACCAGGTACAGCGTCGCACAAGCTTCGGTGTCATCGTTACAGCTATGCTTGCTCCTCCATTTTTATTTATTAATTTTCCCGATTGGTCTGCTGTGCTTTTAAAATAATAATCGGAAATCAGAAAACCTCATCCTCCTGCAGTGTAAACAGAATCAGAATCAGAATCAGAAATACTTCCCCCGGGGGGCCGACAGCATGCACTCTTGGCGCACAGATACTGACACTTTCCCAGTACTCTGAGCTCCCAGCCCCGGCAGCACAGCTAACTGAGCTAACTAGCGGTTCCCTTACTTTAGCAACAAGTAAAACTCTGTCCATCAGGAAACTCATAAATCACAGAGTGTTGAGGAGAGCAGCCAGAGGACATCAGAGGAAAAACCAGAAAACATTTCCTAGATAAAACATGATGCAGTTTCACTAAAATCAGTGGCAGGGTTGGTGGTGTGTGATGATGTGCCAGATGTTCGGGGCCGGAGAGGGAATAACAGAGGCACCACTGACCTTACTAGTGTACCAGCAACATCGTTTTAATTTTGAAAGGTTAAGATAAGGTTTAAGGTAAACAGTTGCTTAATGTTTCTTTAAGTAATGAGTGAAGTGGTTGCTGGGAGATGTGTTTCAGAGTTTATAGCATTCGGGCAGTTTAAAATACGGTGGCTGACAAGGGCAAACGCGCCGCAAACGGCAAAACGCTGCAAACACTGGAATGATGCAAATCCAAAAACACACAAACACATAAAACAAATGCAACAGAAAACGCAGCAACAGAAAAATGCTGCAATCACAGAAACGAGGCAGAAGCACAAACTTACAAACCCACAAAACAACTCCAAAACCGAAGTGCGCCAGGCCACTAGGGGGACCCGACCTGAGGGATGGACCAGTCCTGTGGGACCAGACCCGAAAGACATGAAGAAGAAGAAGAAGAAGAAGAAGAAGAAGAAGAAGAAAGTTGGCTAAGTTTTGGAGAGGAGAGTAAAAAGGTATGTTTTCCTTTATTTTACACTTAGCCGTAATCTTTTATAATATTATAATATTATAATTATATTATTTAATATTATAAAAGAATATTATAATTATTATAATATTCTTCTATAATATTAAATTATTATAAAAAATATATTATTATTATTATATTATATAATATTATAATTATGTTATACTTTTATAATATAATTATAATATTATAAAAGATTATGGCTAAGTGTTTAAAAAAAGACATAAAGGAAAACGTGCCTTTTTACTCTCCTCTCCAAAACTTAGCCTTCTTTCTTCTTCTTCTTCTTCTTCTTCTTCTTCTTCTTCTTGTCTTTCGGGTCTGGTCCCACAGGACTGGTCCATCCCTCAGGTCAGGTCCCCCTAGTGGCCTGGCGCACTTCCGTTTTGTGGAGCGAATTTGCAGTATTTCTCTCTGGCAGTTGTTTTCGGGTTTTGTGTGTTTTTGGTATTTGCTGCATTTATCTTTGGCATTTGTTTTGTGGTTTTGTAAGTTTTTGCTTCTGCTTCGTTTCTGTGATTGCAGCATTTTTCTGTTGCTGCGTTTTTCTGTTGGATTTGTTTTATGTGTTTGTGCATTTTAGGATTTGTATCATTCCCGTGTTTGTAGCGTTTTGCCGTTTGTAGCGTTTGCCCTTGTCGGCCACCGTATTAAAATGAGTAAAAAAAATATCTGTTTAAGACCATGGACTGTAACCACCTGCCACCAGGTCAGATTTGGTCAGATACCCATGGAAATCAGACAAAGCAAGGCAGTGGAAACTCTACTGATTTTGTCCACAGGGGCCACCCGAATCAGCATAAAACAAAAGATCCCTGCTGTAACATTTACCTTTAAAATAAACATCGTGCAGCCAGTAGAACAGCAGCAGCTCTTGTGATACCCATATTAATGTCCTTGCTGCTGTACACCCAGAGCTCAGGGCAGCACATGAGAGGGTGGATAATTTATATCAGATCTGTCAGGAGCTCACTCTGGCACACCATGATTCTCAGCATGATCCCATGCTGTTACTCTGAGTGTGCTACAGCAGACACACAGCGTCACAAGCATTTGCATGTAATTGGCATTATTATATGCTGTAGTGATTTTTATATGATGTTTACTGTGTCTTTACTATCTGAACTTGCCTCAGCCCTGACAGCTCTGTAATGGTGTGGAATATGTTCGCATGCTCTGCTTTTTGGAAATGTCAGTAGGGGAAGTTGAGAGAATAAAGCTCCAACTGTGCTCACCTAACACACTAGGCGTGAATATGGGAATCTATTATCATTGAGAGAGTGAGGGATTTTACTTTCAAAGACACACACACAAACTCTCTCTCTGTCTCATGTAAGCACACACAAGTTTACAGTACTTAGGTATTGGCTGCTGGGGCTGAATAACACCCACGAGTGCGCAGATGGGTTACAATGAAGGGGACCAGTAGTGGACGGAACAGACTGCATAAATCGATGAATCCCTTGCAGGCAGAATCGGCTGCCTCTCTGCCTCCTCCACTTGTAATACCAAAGCCTGTCTGGCTGTTTAAACTACTCAGACTCACCATTCATCATACCTCACAGCCATTAGGGTGGACTGAGAGGATTTCTTTCAGAATAAGATTAATTCTCCTCCTCTTCCATCTGTTTTCCATCCTTTTATTTCCTCATTGTGAGTTATTTACTGTAGCTGTCCTAGATTTTGCTGTCTTTTCAGAACAAAGAAGTCTCAACACTGTGTGATGTAAATGTTAATCTTCTCTGTGATTTCATCACAACTGGCTATATTGGTTTTTTCGTGCCTTTTTACACTCTTAGTTTCATTTTCTCTCTCTCAGTCTTCAGTCCTCAAACAGTGACTAACAAATGGAAAGTATCCACTGAAATAAACCCAACAGTAACATATGAGCCACATTTACATGTAACTCTCCTAAACTCTGCTTCACTAAACATATTGTAATTTCCATGAGGAGAAATCAGCATGTTGTGATCAGAGGGTGGGAGTCCTACAGCTTGACCCTTGGCACCTTTCCAAAACCTGACTGAGCTTTACTTTAGCCAGGAATACATTTTCAAGCTGTGAGCTGGCAACTTGCCTCTCAATGTGATGCCAGTACATTATCACCTGCAGCACATGCTCTCAATAGTGTGCCCTTGAGGGAAGCACTTGCTAGACCCCATAGCTGTCACACTTAGGTTGACCCTGTGCTTTGACTAGTCCGAGTGTTAAGATCCAGTTGGTATCACTGAGTACTCGCCAGGGAGTCCGCCATCACAGACACCACTGTGTTTTTACAAGCATAAATTAAAAAAAGAAAGAAAAGATAATTTTCTTAAAAATAACGTAACGCATAACAATTAGTACAAAACGACTACAAAAAAAATGACAAGTCAATATGACTTTAAGGTTCACTCGTGGTGACAAAACCACAAAGAATTAAGACCTGACTCAACTTTTTGTGTCTTTCAGCTCATTGTTTTCTTTTGTTGGCCTGCAGCTTTACTGTTTACATTTATTTTTGCTGCACTTCATTTTCAGCAGCAGCAAAATTGGCAAATTGGCAACTAGCTAGGCTGGTGAACATAGTGGACCTAAATAGCCAGATATTTCCCTGAGGACTTGGTGGAGACCAAAAACAGAGCTAAAAACAGAGTGAATATTAGATTTGCCCACCTTTCAACAGGCCTTGAATCTAATTTAACAATATATAATTTAGAAGTTGTGGACAAAATAATAGGAAAACACAATCCAATACAAGCAAATGAAATAGGGCAGAACTGATTAAGCTTAGCATGTTCAGTTTCTGTTTAAGCTGAGGTATTCTGATGCATCATTATTTAGAGATGAAATAAATTAGTTATTTCATTTTACATGTTTTATAGATTTTATCAGGTTTGCAGCACATGACTTGTTAGTATGACCAACTTTAATTGCACATTCAGTAAAGACACAATTTGGCATATCCTGCTTCACTCCTACCATGCACACTTTCCTTGTTATGAGCACAGTACAGGCAGTTTGTCATACATACATACCTTTCAACTCTGTGCTCTGCCTATTGGCCCACCAAACTAAACAAAAAGTATATTATAGTATAAAAGTATAAAAGTATATTTACCATAACTTTTCCTATAAAACTCATTCCCTCAAATGGAATACAGATTGTATATCTGAGCTGTTCACCCTCCCTAACCACCCCATCCTTGTAGGCAGAAATCGATATCAAAGCCAGATACAGGAAGAGTGTGGTGAGCATCGGAGCTTGGTAATAGCCTGGTTCCGTGCGGCTGCAGATCTGGAGCTTCCACGGCTAATTCAATCGGTTGACTCCAGTGCTAATGCCCCTGTCTTTTTCAGGCATCCTCGGTAGGATAAAATGGGAACTGGAGATTCATTAGGGAGAGCTCAGAGTCATGGTTAGCCAAACAACTTGACATTACACCGTGGCAGGAAGTGCAGGGATATTCACAGTGATATATACAAAACATTATAATGCAAAACAGCTATCACAGAGAACATTTTCCCCATCACTAAACTTTCATCTTGGTGATACAGGTTTATGATAAAGAGAAATACCTCACTGTACTGAAACCTAAGCAGATAATCTTAAAGATAAAGTTATTCTAATAATCTATGCAATCCACTGAATCTGACATACAGTAAATAGGCATTACCTCTGTATATGATTTCATTATATGCTGCTTGCTGCAACTACAATATATACCCTCAGACTGCTGATGATTACATTAAAATGCCCCATGTGATAGCACAAGGAGTAGTGTATATGAGAAACCAACAAGAATACAGCCAAAATGAGTCACTTTTCCCTGGCTAGGTGTAATTGAATCTGCATTGCTGACAATTCTGCACATAAATCTTCAATTATTCTCAGCCCCTGCAAGAGCCAACCTGTACAAGATCTAATGATGCTTGATGAAATCTATGTGGCCTTGAAATCTTGATAACTCTCATTAAGCTAACGATCCAGAGAAATAGGAAAAAGGGTGCTGTTAGCAAATTTGTCACGGAGTAGTGATAAGAAGGAATAAAATCTCATTTCAGTGGCACCCAAGCTCATAATAATTCTGCTACTAATGCAAACAGATAATTGCTTTGTGAAAGACCATGGACATTACATAAATTTATTTTGCATGTTTTCATTAACAGGGCTCTATGGCTTAGCCTAATGATGCTTTTTGGGGTTTTTTGTTTTCCACAGAGTAGTGCTTGTGGAAAACATCCCAGAAGACATCTCCTTCTTAGACAATGGTACATCCCATGTTCCTCTCTCAGTGGGGCTGTACAACTTACTGGACCGAGCTATCCGGGTCGTAGAGATAGTTTCCCCGCTGTGGCTCCTCAACTCCTCCGATTATGAATCGAGCTTCCAGCCTGCTGCCAGACAGGTAAAACCGGAGCAAGCCAACAGAGACTTCACTCTACAGAAGTTGTGCCATTTATTTGAATGTTGTGCCTTTTCTGTCCTCTGCATGTCTTTGTCTGAACTGGTCTCTTTGCCTCCTCTACACAATAATCAGTGGTGGAAGTACTCAGATCCATTACTTAAGCAAAAATACAGATATAAAAATGTAAAAACTCTCCTATGCATATGCAGGTCCTGCATTTAAATCTTTTTAAATGTCCCCCCACAATATGTTGGTTTTTTTTCTTGTTCATATGGATGTTTGAGCTTCACATTCATCTGCTGAAAGTGTAAAGTTTCTCTGTGCTCATTGAAGTGGGCAGGGCCTGCGACTATGACTTGTGTATGCAACTTATACAAGTGTGATGTAGAAACTTGAAACCAGTGCATATACACTGAGAATGGACTTTACAGTGAAGTAGGAGACATGTTATATTCATCAGATCTTTAAAGAACATTAAAGAAGAGATGGTTTTCTGCTTCAGACAAATCAGACAATAAAGTCAAAGTAGACAAAATAACAGTATGATATAAGCGAGCAGCCACAAATGATCACCAGTAGAGAATAAAAAACTGTCCTTGTATAATTGTACTTGCTGGTAAAATACTGGTCTGCACTCTTCAGGCTGCTTAAAGTGAGCTATTCATTTTGGATTTGTATTGGATGTGGTATTGGCAGTTGCACACGCGCGCACACGCACGCACGCACGCACACACACACACACACAGTTCTGTTTAAATGTTGAGTGTGTCAGGGCTAATGAAAGCCTGATGTTGTTGATTGGGAGGTAATATCTCCTTTCAGAGGCCCCAGGGCAGGGAAGAGCTAATGGCTTTTCAGCCTGCTGCAGTCTCAGCAATCAGCTGCCATAAAAGATACCTCATCAGGAGGGAGGCTGGACCCAAACCTTTAATATACTGTAAAGGCAAAGTAATAAAAGGCGGAGGTGGAGATGCTCTTGTAGCATACATGTGCACTGCATGTGTGTTTGCGTCTGGTTCTGCCCTATTAAATACAGTGAGCATCAGTTAAGTTAAAAGTGCTGTTTTGCTATCATGAGGAGACATAAAGACTAAAGTCATTGGACGTTTTACTCACACTGAGTCAGTCATTTTAGAGGGCGATTACTCAATTCTGTGACACCCATAAGTTTAGCTGTAGTTAACTTTTTCTCACATACAAATGTTTAAAAAATGGCAACGTCAGCTACATCACCTCAAATAAAAAATGAATAAAATTAAGAGATTCAAGAGTTTCCTGAACTGTGCTCTGCAAGTCAATGAGCCTGCAAGACCAACGGAGGCCAGTTTGATGACAGGGAACAAGGGGAATACAGTATTCAGTCCCGGTACCAGGTACCAGATCTGCTTAGGGCCCTGCGTTCAGAGATGATATGATACATTAACACATTATGATTGGCTGTACTGCCCGATCCATACATCCTGCTCCATCCATCCTTTTGGATGTTGAAATGAAGCCCATTTTACCAAATTCACATCTCAGTTGTCTCAGTCTCTCTTTAGCGTTAGCAATTCAAAAAACTGGAAAGTCTTTGGATTAGAAGAAAGGTTTCATACGTACTTAAAATGAAAGGTAGCTGTGCAAACTTCCCTGCTCTGCCGTGTACGGGAAGAGCCGATCGCAACCGGAAGGACCCGAGTTGTCCCGAAGGAACGTCAGAACCGTCCCGACGGTAGCTAAGTTACCCGTCGCGTGCTGCACACCTCCTTCTCTGTTACGAGAGCGTTGAGCAGAGCCAAATAACTTGTGTCCGTTGTGCGTGAGTGCAGAGTAAGTTTATATTCACTGTTTATTGTTATGTTAGCTGCTATGTTGTAAAAGTACTGACGCACACACGGTTTTTTGTACATTAGATATATTACCAGAGTCTGGTTAATATGTTTGAATTCCCTAATATATATGTTCTAGACATATAATACTATTTCATTGTGTGTTTAATATTGCGTACGGGCTCTGCACCCGACGACATTTACGTTTAGTACAGTTGTTGTGTATGACAGTGTAATGATGTGGTCTGAGGCGCCCACGTGCGGCTATTACGGAGTGTCATTCCGACCTCATGTTATTTTACTGCATAGTACTGTGTATCTGTTTAGTTCACAGTCTTATTGCTTTATTTCGTTAAAATAATAATATATTTGCTGTTTATTTATTTTGTGTAATTCAGGAAACCACAACAAGACACATCCTGTACGTTGTTCATGTGAGGAATTAATAAAGAAGGAAAACATAATTCTCTGGAGTAGCTGCAGTTTTTCTTACCGGAAACTAAGGCCAGACTGTGTACGCCAGCATCCAAATATATTCTACAAGTGGTCCTTCGAGCCGGATGTACACAAGCTGCGCCATGGCTACAAGCAGAGGCTATTACGATGGGCAGCAGCCACCGAGTCCCCGTCCTAGCAGGGTGCGACGCATTCCCGGACATCTGGAAGACTACGAGCTCAGCTACCCGTTCCAACCCCTTCATCCCACCATGACAAGGACAGTGTCACCGATGACAACAACATATGTAGCAGCACCCAACATGGGAGGACTCCTTCCATATCCAGTGCCCACATATCAGTCCTACGAGAGCCCAGATGATAGACTTAAGTGCTTAGAGGCACGCTGGCAGACTATGAGACACCAAATGAGAGAGCTGCAAGCTGAAATGGACAATGTGAGGCTAACTCCTCACCCTCAGTTTGCCTATACTCAACCCACATATCGCTCACACCAATATGCTGCAGATATGCCTCAGTACAGTAGCCTTCCCCATCTAGGGAGGATTAACATGTGTCCCAGTCCAACTAGGATGGCACAGTACCCATCTGCATCACATATTCCAGCCCCAATGGTGCCCCTCTCTCAAGATCAGGACACAGCTGCTGCCTCATCAATGCAAAACGCACTCTCTGCTGAACTGACAGAAGCTGTGGAACAAGATTCTGCTGCACAGCCGGTTGACGATGTGGAACAAGCTTCAGACGCTGAATCGATACTATCTGCTCCTACTTCACAAATGACACGAGTGGACTTCACAGCCTCTGTTCCATCAGCACCTATTGACCGGGTAATCCCTGTATCATGGGCCCTGCCTGCACAACCTGTGCCTCCAGTCAACATGATAGCACCAAATCCCTCTAACTCACTGGTGCCACCTGCAGTCTCCACAGTTCCTGCCCTGCCGGTCCAGACTGCACCTGCCCCATCACGACCAGCATACAGCGCACCCAGGTATTGGCAGCCTCCTCCTCAACCATACCCTGCAACTCCTGTCCAACACTACTATCCTCAACAGCCACCTGCAACTGTGCGGCCACCAGATAACCCGAATGCACCAGGTGTTTTAGAGATGGTTATTGCCTCATCATTTGGTATTCCCAAGCCCAAACTGACTGTTTTTAGCTCAGGGAGGGAAAGTGACTTTCTGATGCTTAAGAAAGGCCTGGACGGTGTTCTTGGGCCCCATAGACACTTAAGTGAAGACTACAAGTATCAAGTCCTTCTAGACCACCTCAGATTCCCTGCAGCACTTCAAATAGCCAAGAGGTTCATCAATAGTGCAACGCCATACACTGCTGCATTGCAAGCCCTCATGCAAAGATATGGTCAGCCCAGACAGCTTGTGCAGGGAGAACTCAATGCCATCCTAAACGCTCCACCAGTGAAGGCCGGAGACTATCAAGGTATTGAAGATTTTGCAGCATCAGTTGGAACACTAGTGGGCATGCTAAGCACAATGCAAGGTCCTTCATCTGCAGAGCTGCGGTGTGGTTCTCATGTTGACACACTGCTCACCAAGCTGCCTGCTAACTTCAGAGATGCCTTCGCTGAATACTGCTTCACTAGGGGAATTATCCAGAGTGGTAGCGAGAGGACATATACTCTTCCAGATCTGGCAGAGTGGCTTGAGAGGAAAGTCCAGACACTACAGGTATCCCGTCGAATAGGTACACGTCCACCAGAATCCACACATGCTGACAGCAGGGAGTACAGATCAGTGAAGCAGCCAAGAGTGAAGTCTGCAACTATTCTACTCGGTAACCACCAGGGGGCTCAGCAACATAATCCAGCTCCTGCATCAATCCCTCCACCACAGTCTAATAAGCGTGATAGGTTCAAGCCCTATTGCCCTTACTGTAACAACCAAGAACACTACCTCAACGCATGCAGTGACTTTGCTAATCTCACAAACAATACAAAGGCTGACTGGATAAAGGAGAAGAAAAGATGCTGGAGGTGTGGGAGAGGACACACATCTGACAACTGCACCTTAAAGAAGCCCTGTTCAACTTGTGGGGAACAACACTTATCTGTGCTCCATGATGTGGCTCAAATAGAGACTGTCCTGACTGTGAGTACATCCCCCAGCATGATTTACACAGACCAAATTAGCCATTCAGGTCGAGTGATGCTAAAGGTTGTTCCAGTACGCCTGCACAATGGGAAGAAAACACTCAGTACTTACGCTATTCTGGATGACGGATCTGAACGAACAATCATATTACCAGCTGCTGTGCATCACCTTGGTCTCAAAGGAAAGGAAGAAATCTTGTCCCTGAGGACAATTAGACAGGACAAGGTGCAGGTAAAGGGAGCTACAGTCTCACTCAAAGTGTCACCCCTGAAGAAGAAAGGGATGAAACACGACATCCAACATGCCTTCACAGCAGCAGAGCTGAATCTGGCTGAACAGTCATGTGCAGCTGAAAACCTGAAACGAAGCTACCAGCACTTGAGAGACATTCCACTGTTCTCCTACAATAAAGTCAAGCCTATGCTACTCATTGGTTCTGACAACCCTCACCTGATAACACCAGTATCCCCAGTCCGGTCTGGCCCAATCGGTGGACCTGTAGCTGTGTGCACGGTTCTGGGATGGGCTGTGCAGGGACCTGCCACCTTCCTGCAGCATTCATCAGGTGAGAACAGCTGTCTTCATTCTTCATTCCTCTCCCCTTCTGAAGAACTACATCAAAATGTTGAAAGACTTTGGAAGCTAGACACGTTGCCATTCAGAAACAGTAAGGAGGTGATCCGCTCTGGCGAGGATAAAGCAGCTATGGAACAACTGGAGCAAAAGACCATCAGAGTCACAGTAGACGGTGTGTCCCGCTATGCTACTCCATTGTTGCGTAAAACAAATGCACCCACGCTCCATGCTCCACCCACGGCCGTGATGGCTCTCCTCAGAGCAACAGAGCGCCGCCTTGCTACTAACCCTGAACAATCTTCAGTGTATAATGAGGAGATACACAAATTGGAGAAGGCTGGATATGCTGTCAAGATCAACGCTGATAAGGTGAGCAGGTCAAGAGAGTCCTGGTTCCTCCCTCACCATCTTGTTTATCATAATGGTAAAGCCAGAGTTGTCTTCAACTGTTCATTCAACTATCAACAAGCCTGCCTCAATAACAACCTGCTTCCTGGTCCTACCTTGAGTGCACCAGTACTTGGTGTACTACTGAGGTTCAGAGAACAAGCTGTAGCCATCAGTGGAGATATCCGCGGCATGTTCCATCAGGTGCGTCTCCTCCCTGAAGACCAGCCACTCCTTCGCTTCCTGTGGCGTGATGGTGAGAAAGAGCACAGCCCAGATGTCTACGAGTGGCGTGTTTTGCCATTTGGGACGACCTGTAGCCCATGCTGTGCAACCTATGCTTTGCAGCGTCATGTGCAAGACCACAGTGAGGGCAATGAAGACGTGGTCCAATCTGTGCTGCAATCATTTTATGTAGACAATTGTCTCCAGTCTCTGCCGTCTCCGGTTCAAGCCAGACAGCTCATTGACAAGATGAGAGCTCTCCTTGCCAGTGGAGGTTTTGATATGAGACAGTGGTCTAGCAACATGCCTGAGGTTATTGCACATCTACCTCCCGAAGCCAAATCAGCAGGATGTGAGTTATGGCTGACTGCAAATAAGACCGACCCACAGGAGTCAACACTCGGTCTCCTGTGGCGCTGCAGACCTGACACTCTTGGATACAAACACCGAACCATCCCAGCGACCGACCCGACCATGAGATATGTATACCGGGTTCTAGCCAGTCAATACGACCCTCTGGGCTACATCATACCGTATACCACACGTGCCAAGGTTATAGTTCAAGCCCTATGGAGACAAGAAAGAGGATGGGATGAGCCCATTGTGGACCGTCTCCTCCCTGTATGGCAAGCGTGGGAGAACGAGCTCCCCCAGCTTCAATACGTCACACTGCCACGTTGCTACACCGCTAACGTTCCTACTGATACTCCTGTTGAACTACACATCTTCTGCGACGCCTCAGAGAAAGCCTATGGTGCTGTAGCATACATGAGGGTTGAAGACAGTGAAGGAAAGGTACAGGTGGCATTTGTGATGGCAAGGTCTCGTGTAGCACCGAAGAAACAATTATCAATACCTCGTCTGGAGCTGTGTGCGGCCCTGTCAGGCGCACAGTTAGCCAAGGTCCTACACACAGAGTTGACACTACCAGTAAATAAAACAACACTGTGGACTGATTCCACGACTGTTTTACACTGGATCCAGTCTGAATCTCAGCAGTACAAGGTGTTTGTGGGGACACGGATAGCAGAGATCCAAGAGCTAGTTGGAGCAGACAAATGGAGACATGTTCCCTCGGAAGAGAATCCTGCTGACGATATCACCCGTGGGAAATCCCTGGCGGAACTAGTAAAGCCAAATCGCTGGACATGTGGTCCGACCTTTCTCCACCAGCCTCAAGCCGAGTGGCCAACTGATCGTGCTGTAAGTTACACACCTACACCAGCTGAAGAAATACGTGATACCATCTTCTGTGGTAATATCACAGTAAGCAGCCTTCCAGTCCTAGATGTAACTCAGGTGAACTCATGGTCAGAACTGGTAGGTGCCACATTCCAGTCCCTACACGGGGCGGCTGCTCCTCCCATGACTGCAGCCGACAGAGTCAATACAGAAGTTGTCATCTTGAAGAGAGCACAACAGGAGTGTTTCCCGGCGGAGTTTACTGCCCTGCAAGCTGGTAAACCTCTCAGCTCTAATAGCAGCTTGCTGTCTCTATCCCCTGTCTACGACGAAAATGTGGAGTTGATAAGGGTCGGAGGTCGACTTCGAAAGGCAGAGAATCTAGGGGAGGACACCATCCATCCTATCATCCTGGCACCAAACCACCATGTCACGCGGTTGCTCATACAGGATTATGATAACCGGTTGCTTCATGCAGGTCCTGACCGTGTATTTGCAGAAATAAGGAGGACATACTGGATTATTCGTGGACGTCAAGCTGTCAAGAAACATCAGCATAGCTGCACAGAGTGCCGCAAATGGCGCAGCAAACCTGTCATTCCCCAGATGGCCGACCTGCCAGTTGCACGGTTGCGCATCAACCAACCGCCATACTGGTCTACCGGCGTGGATTGTTTCGGCCCGTACACCATCAAAATAGGCCGCAGACATGAGAAGAGGTGGGGTATTGTCTTTAAATGCCTCACCACTCGGTGTGTGCATCTGGACCTTTTGTGCTGCATGGACACTGACTCCTTTTTGCTCGCCTTACGGCGCTTTGTGGCAAGAAGAGGGAAGCCGTTTGAGATTCTCTGTGACCGAGGCACTAATTTCCGCGGAGGAGACAGAGAGCTGCAAGAAGCCTTCGCCGCACTTGAGCCATCACTAAAGGATCAGCTTGCTGAGCAGAGCATCAACTTCCGATTCAATCCACCATTAGCACCTCATTTTGGCGGTGTTTGGGAGAGAGAAATCAAATCTGTTAAAGCATCCCTGCAAGTAGTCTTGAAAGACCAAGTGCTCCCAGAGGAAGTCCTAATGACGGTCCTGATAGAAGTTGAGGGGATTCTTAACTCAAAGCCCCTTGGTTATGCTACGTCAGACATCGCAGATCCTGACCCCATAACGCCAAATCTCCTACTCATGGGGCGGCGGGATGCATCACTACCACAAGTCGTGTATCACAACAGTGACCTGCTTGGACGTCGTCGCTGGAAACACAGCCAGGTGCTGGCAGATCACTTCTGGCTCCAGTTCACAAGGAACTATCTCCCCAACCTTCAACATCGTCGGAAGTGGCATAGTTCTACTGTGGACCTCACTCCAGATCAGGTGGTCATGATCATTGACCCACAGCTGCCAAGAGCACTGTGGCCAGTTGGACGAGTCACCAAAGTGATCCCCAGTGATGACGGCCGGATACGCACAGCTGAGGTGAACATTAAAGGGTCTACATACACACGGCCAGTGGCTAAACTCATCCCCCCTGCCAGAAATGCCAGAGGACTGAGACTGATCTTACAACACAGCAGGGACCTTTGTGAAACTGCAAATTCACTAGGTGAATTTGGGGGCGGCTGTGCAAACTTCCCTGCTCTGCCGTGTACGGGAAGAGCCGATCGCAACCGGAAGGACCCGAGTTGTCCCGAAGGAACGTCAGAACCGCCCCGACGGTAGCTAAGTTACCCGTCGCGTGCTGCACACCTCCTTCTCTGTTACGAGAGCGTTGAGCAGAGCCAAATAACTTGTGTCCGTTGTGCGTGAGTGCAGAGTAAGTTTATATTCACTGTTTATTGTTATGTTAGCTGCTATGTTGTAAAAGTACTGACGCACACACGGTTTTTTGTACATTAGATATATTACCAGAGTCTGGTTAATATGTTTGAATTCCCTAATATATATGTTCTAGACATATAATACTATTTCATTGTGTGTTTAATATTGCGTACGGGCTCTGCACCCGACGACATTTACGTTTAGTACAGTTGTTGTGTATGACAGTGTAATGATGTGGTCTGAGGCGCCCACGTGCGGCTATTACGGAGTGTCATTCCGACCTCATGTTATTTTACTGCATAGTACTGTGTATCTGTTTAGTTCACAGTCTTATTGCTTTATTTCGTTAAAATAATAATATATTTGCTGTTTATTTATTTTGTGTAATTCAGGAAACCACAACAAGACACATCCTGTACGTTGTTCATGTGAGGAATTAATAAAGAAGGAAAACATAATTCTCTGGAGTAGCTGCAGTTTTTCTTACCGGAAACTAAGGCCAGACTGTGTACGCCAGCATCCAAATATATTCTACAGTAGCTATCATGACTGCACAAACAAAGAAAAGTGTCAGCCACAAATGTGAATATTTAATCTTAACAAAAAAGAAACTAGACATAACAGTTGCTGGCTGCAGACAGAGGACCTCTGGTAAATGTAGCCCGTAAATGGCTGCTGATGGTGTCACAATATCAAAGAAAATCTAAGCATACACAAGAATCTTGTTTGAATACACAGTGCATGAATTTCATGTGACAGCAGAGGTTATGTGATCTTTCCCTCAGGGCAGGGCTCTGCTGTCCAGGTTGCAGGGGCTGAAGGCTAAAGGAATCCAGCTGAAGATCTCCAGTGGGATGATCGACTCGACTGAGCTCAACACACTCGCCAAACACAGTCAGCTCTCACTCTCACTGTATTATACATTCAGTGTGTCTGTGTTCAAACATGCTGCAGCTTGGCTCTGTCTGTTTATTCTGTTGACTCTCCCTATTTGTCCGGTTCAGTTCCTTGAATCTATCACTCTCTTTCCATCTTTCCCTTCATCTGTCTTTGTGTTTCATTTTCTTGTTGATCCTGTATCTGTCTGTAGCTATATCTGCCTTTATCCTTCTCATTGTCTCAGTATAATGTAACCTTCCTTTATTTATGCCTTTCTTTTTCTTGCTGACTTTTGTCTTGATCTCCATTCCCAGATGCTGAGGTCCACTATGTGAACATGACAGCGCTGACCAAAGGCCACCTCCTCTCCTCCTTCTGGGTGGTTGACAGAAGACATTTCTACATCGGCAGCGCCAGCATGGACTGGAGATCTTTGGCCACTGTATCTAATATCCACCACACATCCATACTTACACACATGCATACTCACCCAAAGACAGAGGCTTTGAGATATTTTAGAAAATGTAACATCATAATCCAAGCCCTTTAAATTCTCATTGTAACACAAATTATGCTAATTCACCCATGTCTGTCTTCATTTTGTATCCAACAGAATTACATGAGATTCAATTACATAACAAATTCTCTATCCCCTAATGTATAGTAAAGAGCTTTGATAATGTTCTTCTGGCTCAGACTCAAAAGTACAGCATTTTATTTGAAGTTCCCAGCCCTCTTATGCAAAAGGCTGAAATAACTAACAGGAGTGTCATGCCAATGGGTTAATTAATTTGACAAAAATAACCAGATTTGACAGATTTATTACCATGGGTAATACATAAGTCCTTTTGAATTATTTTTTCTCAGTTTTATTAGAATATTTACTTGATATATTTACTGACACATTCTACATTTGCACATTTGTAGATGTGTACAAGTTATGAACCCTATCAAAACACATTTGTACAGATAGTGAAATTATATTTGCGTATATGTTACATGTCAGTGTCTTCTTCAAAAAGTCATAGATGGGGGGATGGGTGGGGGATTCGTTTAGTGGGGGCATGCCTGGCGTGAGGTGGTATCCAAAAGGAAAGTAGACGTTCTTTCATCTTCTTCTTCAAAGCTGAGTTTCTTGCATGGTTCATTAAAGTGCGGACCCCTTTGTTAGACACCCAGAGATTAGGAAGACGAATTGCAAGGAGCTCAAGGTGGCCATGCAAAATCAAAACTTATATGGACACATTTTTTAATGCATCCTGACATAAATTCTTAGATTCACAGTCCAGTATTAGCTGTTAGCCTAACATGTTTGTTTCTTTAGTTTTTCATGGTATTGAATGAATGTGAAGTAAAATTATGGGCTGTATTTTCTGTCCATTTGGACTGCAAATTGGTGTGTTTTGAGGGAAATACACTGTAGAATAGGCTGTGTCAAATACGACATTAGTAAGTGTGATCTAAGCTTCAGGAATACTTTGCCCATGAAGACGCTGCAGGGAGAGAATGAAAGGGAGCAAGACAAGGTGATTTATATGGTTCAAGCGGAATCTGAATTTCAGAAGTGCCTCTTTGAAATAAAAATGCAGCAGAGAGCAAAGAAAGAAAATTGAGAACAGAGGGAAGAACCACTGTAGTGTCTTCTCATTCCCTGCTGTTGCTGTGACGATGGGCAAAGACCTGTAATTGGATGAGGTTGCGGACAATATTGCCAGAAAGGGGGGAGGGGCTGCATGTGTGTGTAGGTGGACAGATGTATAAAAGCGCTGAAGGAGTAAAAACATATAGGTTAAGAGTACTTGGAAAGGGAATCTGATGGAGATGATAGGCAGCATGTTGATGATCTTGAAAGCAATGACGATAATGTTTAGGATAATTACAAAGATGCTGATGTAAATGTGGGCTGTGTCCTTGCTTACGGTGATCTAACACAGATTTTGTTTGTTCTCCAGAGGAAGGAGCTGGGTGTGTTGGTGTACGACTGCAGCTGTCTGGCTCTGGACCTCCACAGAGTGTTCAGCCTGTACTGGGGCCTCCAGTATAAAGACTTCATCCCCTCCTTCTGGTCCAAGCGCCTCTTCGCCCTCTTTAACAGAGACGCACCACTGAAGCTCACCTTCAACAGCACAAAGGCTCAGGCCTACGTCTCTGTGAGTCACAGTTATAGCGTTAGTCTGTATTATACATTAACCGTTTTCATCGTAGCATTGCTTTATTTATGTAGCAATTCCTGGTTGATACGTCTTAAACAAGGTTAATATGCCAGCCCATAAATTATTTTGTATTGATGGTACAGGTAATGGGGAGGCTTGTGCAAAAGAGTTGGATTCCAAGAGCTAAAACATTTACTTAAAGTGATGTTTACAGTGAAATAATAATTTAAAGCATGAGATAATTGTGGTCTAAAGCAATGGTTCCCAACCTTTTTCAGAGTTTTCCTGATATTTTTAGGAACTTTAATAAGTTATATACTTAATAGGCTTCTTTTTTTTTAATTCAGTGTTTTCTTCTCCCTGACAGTTGGACTTGTTCCAAGGGGTTTTTGGTGTGTATTTTTCTAATGCAGGATGAGTTTAACAGAGAGTGAAGGCTCCGTTAATATAGATTGTGTTCAGGTTGTCACTGTGCCTTATCCTGTGAGATTATCTTAAATAAAAATGTAAACTTTAAAAATAACAATTTCATTTAGTTTTTCACATAAATGAATGACATGAATTAATATGAAATATAGGTCTATTATCTATATATTTTTTTTTTAAGTTTTCTTTCTGATACTATTTAAAATCAAGAAAACATTTCAGTCCCCCGTGAAGCTTTTTTAAGACCCCCAGTAGGGGTTGGGACCCCTGGGTTAGGAACCAGTGGTCTAAAGAGATACTTTACAAGCTCAAGTATACCTAGTTAACTATAAAGTATCTACATTAGATAAAGACATTCAATTACCATCCATTACTTACACTCAAATATTATATATAATTACATTCAATTGGCGATATTACATATTATTGGCAGCTCACATAATTCAGTATTAGTTCATTTGAAAAAGGATGTTGATGTTGTGACAGACTGAGCTTCAGTGTTCAGGGTTCAATTGCCTAATTTGGATTCTGGGACATGTCTGTATTTCAGTGGTGGAGAACTAACAGTCCTTTTACATGGCATTTGAAATGTTAAATCTGGAAAAGCTCAGGTATAATGATTAACATTAATAATGGCTACATGACATTTAGGTGACTTTCAGAGCAACAGTATTGTGCATGCTGGCTTACTGTGATGGCTTACTGAGCACCTAATGGAACTAAGTCATAGTTAGTGAAATTAGTTTCACCTGTGTGTTTTCTCAAGTTAACGCAAGTGAATCAGACACTTTAAAGGCCCTGCACACCCACACATGTGTTTAGAGTTACTCTGATTGATAAGACCTCTGCTCAGGTTGAAGAGGGGTGAACTGGGGAAAAAATATGTGACATCATCAAACATGAACGTGGCATCAGTTCAGGTTGAAGCTGGGTGGGGCTATGCTGGGCATTATGTGAAGTCACCAATAAGAATGATAAATGTATAATACCTTACTTCACACACACAGCAGTGGACTGAAGGACAGTCTGATCAGGCAAAATAAGTGAAAACACCTGTGTGGGTGTAACATGGGTTTGTAGGGTCTTTAAATGGAGCAGAACCATAATCAGGATTACCAGTTCTACTTGTGCTTTTCCTGCTATGAGAACTCAACATGTCTAGTCTGAAAAAGAGAAAAACTGTTTACAATACATACCAGTAGGAATTAGACACTGGCCTTTTTTTTTAATAGAGGAGAATGTAAATGTGTACAGCACAGTGTGGCAACGTTCTCCATTGGAGGTGACAGTTACTAGGTGGAAGAGAGACATTTTTCATACAGGGTGTCAGGACACTGTGTCTTCAGTGTCATCATCTTCCTTGAGATGAGTGATGGTGATCATCCTACCCACAGCAGAAAACAGTTGAATTGGCTTGGCTGTCAATCTCTAGAAGATTAATGCCTGTCAGCAAGAAGTTAAAACTGAAACTTTAAGACTATTCAAGTTACAGCAATAACACACACACACACACACACACACACACACACACACACACACACACACATTGTAGACAATGAAATCTTAATGGTCATTTGGGTGAACAATAATGATGATGAGAGCTGATTCTGATATGATGGAAACAGTGTTAACAAACATGATGTTAATTGTCTGTTTCCCTCCTCTGATGACAGAGCTCCCCAGATGTTTTCATTCCCAAAGATCGTAGCAATGATCTTGAAGCCATTTCCAGAGTGATACAGGAGGCGCACCATTTCATATATATATCCATCATCGACTACCTGCCCCTCGTGAGCAGAAACGCTCAAAGGTTAGAACCACTGAGCCACTGTGTCAGAGTTCCTGTCTTTGGAATTATTTGACAGGCATTTATATCATCAAAAGCTTGGAGGCCTGTCTTTGATTCAAGTGATTAAACTCTGTGTATGCCTGCTGTCCATCTGGCTGTGTGCCCACATTTTTGTGTGCGTGTTTGTATCTGTGCCAAGGTACTGGTCTCGTATTGACGGCCTTATCCGGGAGGCTCTGATTCTGAGGAAGGTCCGGGTTCGTCTGCTGATAAGTTGCTGGGAAAACACTCATCCACTTACTTTTAACTTTATCTGGTCCCTAAGGAGTCTGTGCATGGAGCAGGCCAACTGCTCACTGGAAGCTGTAAGTACAAGGCCACTATGTACTATTTTTTAACTCAAGAGATACACTTTACCAATGCTCAATGCACCACTGTGTGTATGTGTGTGTGTGTGTGTGTGTGTGTGTGTGTGTGTGTGTGTGTGTGTGTAGAAGCTCTTCAACCCCAGAGTGCTGAGGGATGGCAGTCTCCAAGGAATAAACCACAACAGGTTTATAGTGACAGACAAAGCCATTTATTTAGGTGAGTTCATCAACTACTCTTTATGACTGTGTCCTATATGCTTTTACTCACTTCCTGCAGAGCTCATTTTCAATTGTCTTAAAACAAAAGTTCAGCAGTTTTGGAAGTACGGTGGAAGTAAAGTAGTATCTTTTTCAGAGTGAGAGAGATCGATGCCACTCTTGTGTGCGTTACATAAGGGGAAACAGCTTGGCTCTCTCCAAACTCACCATTTTTAGGGTCATGTATCTTGTATGTTTAATCCCTACACAAACAGTAATGTAGAAATGGCAGTTTTTTGGTTTTGTAAGAGAAAGAATTACATGATGCAACAATTTCTTGACGAACAACAGTTTATCCGCCCATACTCCAGGAAGTCATGCAAGGCTGTTGTTTACCAAGAAATGGTCAGAGCACCTGACTCCCTTGTTGTTTTTACATTACTGTAAGAAACAATGTATTAATTAGTGAGCTTTAAAGGTGCTGATATTTATATTTGCGAAGTTTGGAAAGGGCCAGGCTAGCTGTTTCCCCTTGCTTCCAGTCTTTATGCTGAGCTAAGCAATTCGTCTCCTGGCTCCAGCTCTGTACTTATTGTTCAGACATGAAAGTGGTATTGATCTTCTCATCATCTTCTCATCATCTAACTCTTTAACTCCTTCTCTTAACTCTTTCCAGGGAGTTGAAATCAGGGCAGTGCTTGTTTTTTGGTCATCTTGTCACTGTGTTTTTGTCTTATTATTTGTGCTTCAAGATATTTTTAAAATAAAACATATTTGTTTCTTCCTCTGTGCCCTCACAGGTAACCTTGACTGGGTGGGGAACGAGTTCACCTTTAATGCAGGAGCAGGCCTGGTGATCAGTCAGCCAGAGGGCATCGAGGAGAGGAACTCTACAGTGGTGGAGCAGCTACGGGCCGCATTTGAGAGGGACTGGTTTTCACGTTACACCCGCTCACTTCAGGCCAATAAGATCCCCGTCTGCAACAAGCACCAGATCAACAGGCTGGTGTCAGTGAAAAGCAGTCACATAGACAGTGAGCCAGTGCCTATCAGAACAAGCCAGCACGATAGCGGCCCCGCACCAATGAGAAACAGTCACAAAGATGATGGACAGACGGCACTTAAAACAAGACACCATGACGATAGACTAACCAAAATCAGTCGCCATGGCATTGCCAATGGATTGGTGCCAATTATAGACAGTTACCAAGAGAGGGGACGAGTCAAAATGAGTCACCTTGACAACAGACAGGTACAAATCAAAGATAATTACCGTGACAATCCAATGGATCCACCCAGTCAGTCAGCCGAGAGCAGCGGCAGCAGAGAGATCTCCAACGGGTCCCTGTGAACACAAAACGTGATAGGTTCTTTTTCACTGAATGATGTGTGGAGCACTGCTCTCTTCCCGTAACGACAGACTTAACACACTGGGTCTTTGTAGCATTTTATTATTGCCATTTTGAAGAAAACTTTGAAGATTTAAGTAATATCTGATTTGCAGGACTTGATAATTTGCACGGAAGAACTCAGGAAGGAAAGGAAAGGCTTCACTGCAGCACTTTTGATGGATTTTTTTTAAAAGAATAAAACCAAAACATTTTGGCTTAGAAAAAACACTGATTAATACATTGTAATAATAACTTACAACCTTGCTACTTATTTAATCTTTTTACTCTCCTTGCTGAGGCCTCTCAGGCAAAGGAAACAGATGAACTCTTATTGATTGTCTGATTACTGTATGTCACTTAAGCTGTCTGTGGCAGTCATAATTTTTAACCCTTTAAAAGCGGGAATGACTGCATGTAGATGCAGAGATGGGAGGCAATGCAGCATGTGTAGCTACACCTACTTCATTTTAGTAGCAAAAGATTTACCCAGCTTTACATTTTGTGGATCTCTTATTGCCTCTATACTTAGAGTGGTAGTGGATACTTTGGTATCCTTGGTATGTAAATAGTTTTGTGCATCTGCTGCAGTATTCTGAGTGAGTTACTGTGCATTCAAATAATAACTTACTAAACTTATTTATTACCACTGATAACTTCCGATCCTTATCCTAAATCAACCTTATAATGGGTCATATGACATTAATAGAAACAGACAACCCTTATGTGGCCCTTCTACATAATTTATGCAGCAGTGTTACTGGATGGAAAGAGAAATATGTTGAAATATGTCGACATTTTTGCATATAGATGTATTTGGAATTGACGCGTATTAACACAGATCCCTCTAAACGGTTATTAAATGTTGACTGATGAAATTGATTAACATTGACAATATTACTGTAATAGAAACCACCCAGTAACTCATTCTGAGTGCTGATCCACAGTTAAGGAACTGGGGCTTTAAAGGGATTTATCTAATCATGTCCACCATGTTTCAATCTCAATACCACAAGCACTAAACGCTGTACAGAAAGCAGTTACATAATCCAAGGACATGGTGCATCATATATCTTCACAGCGGGATGGTGTATAGCAAAATGTTTTATTTTATGGAAGTCATAATTAAATTAGATGATGCATCTATTCCACTGTGTTTATTACATAACACACCAAATGAACTATGGCCTGAAATTTTCCATCAGTCGCTGTCACTGAAAAATTACAGCCTCAATTTGTTTAAGTTGAAGGGTTGTATTTTTCCCCAGAGGAACAGGGGCTATTGATCTGAAAGGGTCCATATAGATAAAACATTGCAGTAACTGTATACAAATCCTAGGAGAAGAGGATGAATTGAAAGGTTATCTATAGTATTCTTCCAAATGCAATGTTGTGACTTATTGAACAAATACTAAAGGAGCAGTTAGAAGAAGGGGCCAGAGGGTCTCTGCTGTCAGCCCAATCAATACAATGAATTTTTAACAGAGCCTGACAGTTGCTGCAGTTCAACCTCAAGGGCATGGTGGTCTGTAATGTCACACTGAATATATATATAGTACTTTTACCATGTGGAGGTAGAGCTAAATGTACATGATTATTAGTAAAGAACAGCTAATTTACCCTGGACTGAAAGCTTGTAGCGACTTTCATTTGCATTTTGAATGATTGCATGTGAGGTTAAGTCCCTTATACACTTTGCTGTGAGGGCAACTTTTGTAACAAAGCTTGTGGGATTATGACGTAGACATATTTTTGAACTTCCAAAGCCAGTAATCAAGAAAAGAGGAAAATATTAGCGGAGAAGGATAAATAGTGATGTCTTCATCAACAATATGCAGGGTGTTTGTGCTTTAATGTGAAAACAGCACAGGGGTAATCAGTGTTGTATCTGTGCATGAAGCGCAATTGAATAGTTTGATACTGCAGGAAAACTTAGGCTATTACAGTCAGGATGCAGAGAAGGCTTAGTTGTTACCAGAAAGAATTAGAAGTCAGCCATTGTGGTAAAAGGACATACCGCATGGATTTGTGGTGCATATCACCAGTATTCTTTATACAGCATTTGTGCCTGCTCTGTTTGTGTTAGTACAGGTCAAATGTAACTACATAGACTCAGTTCTGTCATGCAGTCACAAACAGGGCACATGTAGCTGAAACACTGATACCAGTGTAAAATCCAACATTTGTCAGTCAAAAACACATTTGACAATTGTAATCTGGTCATGATGGATAACTTCTGCCATCTAGAGGATGTCATGAGAAAGAACATTTCCTCTTACTTTCCTGCTGCAATATGACATGATCATTTTTTTAAAATCAGCCTTTAGTAAGACCACATGTTGGTTCACAACTACTGTTAATGTCAGTTCTTATGAAAATATACAGGCAGCAACATGGGAATGTGATTGTTCTGTCAAAATTGGAGAAGAATTTATGTTGATAACTTTTATTTCTTATGAGGTGAACGGAGGATTATTTGTTCTTTTAAAAAAACAACAACACATATTGTACACACAGTATAGTACATGAAGTTGATATATAACACATTCAAGTATAAAACAAGAATAATGTTATAAAATAACAGTTATATGTTTAATTCTATTTGCATAAAACAAGATATGACTTTACATTGCTGCTGTATGTGTGCTCTAACACTTTCTCTCTTTCTTATAAACTGATTCATAACTCTTATATGACGCAAACACTTATACAAACACAATCATATGTTTCATTCATTTCTCCATACAGAGTGAGTAAAACTTGAAGAGCATCAACTTAATACTAATATGACACATTTTCTTGTAAAGTACTACATCACCACACTGCTTATAATCTGACAGCTGGTCTGGAGTCAGATTCACTTCTTTAAGCTGCTATTATCTACGATTGTCACACGGGGGCAGAAATGTTCCTAATGCACCTTGTACCCTGAGCTTCATGTACATTGTTTATTTGTTTTCAACCTATTTTGATAATCAGAAAACAGAGACTGATTCCCAGTTAACAGATGAGGGCTACAACTTTAATAGTCACTTGAGACTTATTGTAACACAGAACACACGGTACACACATGCCAAGGTTTACAATCTGCAAATTCCAAGTAAAAAAAAAAAGCAATGTTTCTGTATCACCTGTTGTACATCTTTCCATCCCTCCAATGAGATTAATGAAAAATTTGCAATTTTCACTGAAAAGTCTGTGAAAGATACTGTTTTTCTTGAAGTCAGAAGGGAAGGCGAATTTTGTTTGAGGTAGCTACAGAGTTAAACAGAATGAAGCGCTATTTCTGGCTCACTGTAAAAGCTTTTTAATGTTGCCTACCTTTATTCTGTTGAATTTCTTCGACTGCTGTTTGCATGCCCTGCCTCTATGAACTGTGCACAGTAGCTATGAGCCTTTCTAGAGATAATAATGAAATCTTATATACCTTTAAAAAATACAGAAGGAATGTATATTTATTGCATATTCTTGTTAATGCACACTACTGAATTATCTGATTGCTAAGTTTTTACTGTTAATAAAAAACTCTTAGCTTTTTGTGTCTGTGTTTGTGGGTGCATTTATGTTTTTTTTTATGTTACTTTGGTTTCCTTAATACAAATACTGATAATTAAAGCAAGGGCTTACCTCAATAGTTAATCCTTAGTACATCACTGCACTGTGGCTGTCAGTCAGGCCCTATAGGTAGCCTGAATGGACATGCCTCTGGCTAAGCAGAGGAGTATCCAGGCTGCTACAGAAACATATTGATTAAAAACTGAATAATTACTGATAATATTCACCTGATTCACCACACTAAAGAAAACTCACAGCCCCTTTCACATACAATATCATGCTGAGGATGCATCAGACAGAGGACTTTCAATACACTGTCATAAAGATTTTTACTCCTAGATATGTCCCTACATTGAGCACTGGGCCCAGTGAAAATAGTGACTGGCATTTCTCACTATATATTTTTACAAACCAAACAATGAATTGCTTAATCAAAAAATAATAAGTAGATAATTAAAATACAAACAAAATACAACAGTTAAATCCTGCTGTTGCATAATGTGAGTAATAATAATCTAATGATATAATATATAATAGTATAATAGTCACAGGAGCCATTTTTCTGCTTCGAGTTGTGCTTTACTTTTAATACTTTAAGTACATTTTCCCGATCATACGTACTTACTTTTACTTAAGTAGCCAAACATTTTCAACGCAGGATTTTTACAGTGTGGTGGTCGTACTTTTTACTATAATACTTGCTCCACCACTGGATTACGGGTGCTAAAATGTTGCATGAACTCTTACAAGCTGCGACGGTGTTTCTTTAGGATCGTATGCAGCAGAGACATGAGCCGAAGTGAAACTGGGAGACAGCAGCACATTCCTGCTGGTACCTGCCTGGGCTCGAGCAGCCGTGGGATGACGTAACGGTTACCTTAGCAACCGATTAGGCGTCACCACTCTCGACCTGTAAATTCACGAGTGCGCGTTTCCTCTCGGAGACCGTCCCGTCAAGAGAGGGGACACAGCGACGCGCCATGGGGACTACTTCATGAAGGACAATAAACCAGATGTATTTTCCCGTCTGTGTGGGCTGGTGTAGTGGAGCTGGACGCGCCGACCCGAGGAACATCGCTGTGCTGGTGCCGTTGTTGTTAACGTTAACCCCGCGGCGGCCAACATGGCTGAGGATGACTGCGAGTGGGTTGTAGAGAGCATCGTTGGCTACTTGGGAAGTCCCGAATGGGTCATTCCTGTCACGGACTTTATGGAAAACAAATGCACAGGTAAAGACAAGTTTATCCGCCGTGTTCAGTCTTGGATATCTGGCTACACTGTAAAAAGCCTTTTCTGGAGCTGTGCACCGTTAGCGCGGTAGCTAAGCTAACGCTAACTTGCGACGTTTTTTGTTGACGTAATGTAACGTTATGTTTGTAATATATGGTATTTTGTATCTTTTTACCGCATGATAACTCTGCACTCTACTAAATACAAGTCATTGTTGTGAGTTAACCACAATGTCAGGACATTTGCTTCGACATTTAGCCATAAAGCACACAGGTGATGATAAAGGTAGCAAGTCATACCACTGTAAAGGTAACGTTAGCAAGGTAGACACCATAGCTACCAAAGAGGTCATGAATGTTAACTTTATCCCAGAGGCAGTGGACATAGCTAGATAAAGATAGTTTAGAAGGTGTTTTTCAAATATCTCCTCCTGGCACGGTACTAATGCTGAATCACATTTACATGTTATTCGTGTTTTCAGTTTTTGATGACGAAGATGAAAATAAGTTATCATACACAGAAATCCATCTGCAGTATAAGAAACTGGTGAGTACAGTCTTTGGTCCAGATGTGTCAAACATCTTAACTGAAAGTTGTAAAGTGCCCTATTTTCACATATTCCCCCATCAGCATTATTCAGTAGTTGTTTTATATTGCTGAGTCATCAAACTGGACTGATGTGAGCTGCTTTGCTTTTGTTAGGTGGAGAAGCTGTTAGATAATTACATGCAGGAGGTTGGCATCAACGAGCAGCAGTTTCTGGATGCCTGCACCTCTCCTTTTGCCAAGTCTAAAACACTGCAGGTACGTTAAGCTCCTTGATGGCACACCACTGTCAGCCTGCCAGTTAACCTGAATGGAGAATAAATGATGGGATTTGCTTACATAATCCCAGTTATGCTGCTGTTTACATGGTGCCAAACATATTAGCTGGTCTTGCTCTCAATCTGTTCCACCTTCAAGGCAGATATGTGTTTTCCTGATGAATCAGCAAAATAAGCATCCAGTTTGTGATGTAATCTACAACCACATTTGCTATATTTGAATCTGTCTTATATAAGTGTCATGCCTTTGCTTTTTCAGACTGAATTGTGTGTTACCTGAATTACAGTAAGCAGAGTGCATGCCTCTGCCTGCATTTAGTTACAAGCAACAGATTTTCATCAGTAGTTATTCATTCTTTGCCTTTACCCTGGCTATGAGGAATCTCTCATGTTTTTATGACTGCGCCTAAAATCTGACATGACACCCTTCATGTTGTCGCCAGTTTTAACATGTTAGTCAAACGTTGCACTACCATGTCAGCTCTTTATATTTGTTCAGTGGTCCTTATGGCAGACTATCTACAACTGTTTTGGTGAAATTGACATAGACAGCAATACGCTCTCTAGTGCTCCCATGTTTTTTCTTTCAGAAAATCTATGAAGGATGTGCCTCTTCTTCAGTCTCATTTTATATAGTTTGGTGATATTACATCAGTTTCTGTGTTTTTTTTTTGAGGATTCATGCTCACCACTGCAGCAGTGTTGTTTAGTCAGTGGGAAAACTCAACTCTTCTCTCTAGAAAAGGTTTTTTGCTAATTCACTATAAAAAATGGAAATTGCCATGTTAAGAAGCAGGGACAGATAAACAGATTAAACAGGTCTGAGGTAATACACTGGCAGCACCTGATGAAGTGGCAGAGAGTTGGACAGTAAACCTCACGTTTGTACAGTCATGAGCAAGCAGGTAGGGTGAACCTCTGCTGCTGGTGCCTGGTGGCCTACTCGTGTTTGCTTTGAATGTCTATGCTCTTGTGTAGCTTCTGTATAAAGCATGGAATATATATTGTAAGGATTTGGGGTTTCAGGTGAAACTGGGACAACATACTAAAAATGCACTTTACTGCAAAATAACTGTATAGAAATCTCATGCAGTCATACTAAGTATAGTGAGTTGTGTAGTTTTGTGTTATTTGCATTTTTGGTTCAACTATATGAGGAATTACTTCACTTATGTGTCCTGGATAGCAGGGCTCCCAGAGACTTGAACTTTTGCCAAGCTCTGCAGTAAAATCAGTGAAACATACTGTAGCTTAATTAATTGGCACAATGGAAAAGCAAGAAAAAAGGAATAGGGCTCAGATTTAAATTAACAGAATAATGAATAAGTTCCTTTAATTTGTTTAAATAGTTTGATTGTTTTTTAGAGCACATTTAAGACTACATCTACACTCCAAAACAGTGACTGGGTTAATTAACTGTTATATTTTGAGTTTTACATGCAGGTTTTCAATTTGAAAACACATTTCAGTGCCCATCATACATTAAGATAATGCTAATTCTGCTATATTACTACAATGCAGCTGCAGCGAATTCAGTAGCAGAATATAACTAGAGTTCCACACGTCTATATGTAGCATATCTATGAGTGCATCCTTCCCATAGGGCTTGGGCTGTCTTAGTTTGTGTGTTTTAGGTGACTGCTTTCTCTCTTGTGTTTTTTTGTTTTGTTTGTTGAACTGTCTTACCAAAGAAAAAGTAACAAGGCAATAGATAAAAAAATTAAGTGAAGAAAAAAATATTTTTAAAATGAACAAGGCAAAGGGAGAACATGGTCATATCACAAATAGTTTTGCTGCATAACTCCAGTCTGCTTATTTATTTGTTCATTGTGATTTTTGAACTGATGAGTCAGTGACTTCCTGTTGACAACTGGGATACAGTAGACAAACTAGTGAGTGGCAGAGGAATGTGTTGCGGTGTCATGTCTCTTTAGACTTACCTACTGAAGCCGACTGTACCTTTTCTGCGATAAGGTTACTCAGGGAAATGGGATGTACTGTAGGTTTGGGCCTCAGGCAGAAACAGCACGGGATAAGAGAGACTGACAAACGTAAATAGGGAGGAGGAGAAAGAGACACACTGAGAAGCTGGTGACCCCGTTGAATTGTACTAAGAACACTGATCTTGTATTTAAGGTTGGTCAGAAAGATTTGCCCAGCATTAGCCTAGATGGGGGATAGACATTTGACAACAGACAGGAAACTAAAGTGCAAGATTAGGCCTAAGTATCACTCTGTTTACAAACATAGCTTAATTTTGTCAAGATTTACTTTACATGGCTGTCCTGATCTGCAAGGGGGCCAGATTTCCCACTTAGGAACATTGCCTGTTTATTATTTTCTCTTTGTTGTTTAGCAGGGGGAGGGAAAGAATTGCGATTCTTATCTTCTATGATTCTGAATCTATTCCCAACTTCCAAAAATGTATTCTTAAAGCCGTTTTCTTTCCATCTTAATTATAGTTTAAATTTTCTCCTCGCTGCAATATTGACTTTCTGCGCGCCCATTATGGCTTCAGTAAAACACTGCTGCAGCAAGCAGTGTGGCTTTTGGCTAGTCAGTCACTGCTAATGTTAGCTCTCATAGTCGGTATCCTATCTAAAATGGCCCAGCAAGAAATTCCGCCAATCCCATTTTAACTGAACGCAAGCATTTGCACAGTGGACTAGAGTGGATCCTGAAATTAGCATTCCCATATTGAGGATAGATTTTGAATCGGGAATTGTTTTGAATAGAGAATCAATTTTGAATTCAATCTTCCCAAAGAATGGAATCATGAGATCCTGAAAGAATCGCGCCCCTATTGTTTAGGGATAGCTAATCTAAAACTGAATCAAAATCAAGCTGTTATTGCATTATCTAACTTTATAGGTTTTTAAATGGTTTCCGATTTTCAGATGTGTCAATATCTTGATTGTTTTTCTGTCAAAGTTTCTTAAGACCTCAGTGAGTTTGACAAGACAAGTGTAGCTATGCAAGAGTAAGGTTTAGCCTGCTAATATTTCAATAAACTGATCTTTACAGAATGATAATTTTCATCAGAAAAGCCCAGTATGTTCAGACTCACTCACATATACTGTTTTATATACCTGTGTGTACTGACACATTATCTACAGTCAAATGCTTCTCTCAGCCCAGTTGTCACGCCAGCCATTCATCATTATACTGTGGATACAGTGGTTTTTCATGGTCTTATATGTTGTTGTTTTTGTTGTTCAGTCGGTGTTCCAGCCAGTTCTGGCTACAGATGACTTTCAGGTGTTTCGCTCACTGATGGTCCAGAAAAACATGGAACTGCAGCTTCAAGCCCTCAGAGTCATTAAAGAAAGGAACGGTATGCTGGATTAACGAACATAGTCTATATACACCCAGTCACACACTCAAACAGGAAAACACTACTCATATAGCTGCAAGTAATATGCCTCTGTGTGTGTGTGTGTGTGTGTGTGTGTGTGTGTGTCTGTAGGGGCCCTCCCAGAGTGTCTGACTGATGGTGTGGACGTGATGACAGAGTTGCAGCAGCAAGAGATGAAAATCCTGCAAGAGGTTCTCAAGTAAGTCACTTGTTCTCTCTCTCTATCCTACTCTGTCTTACTCTCTCGCTCTCTCACACACCCGCACATGCAGGTGTGTGATGTTAGGGTGCAATGATGAGTTAGCTAATACCTTATTCTTACATGGCTTGACTTTTTACTTCCTGAATTCTAACAACAAGCACAGAAATCAGTTGTGTAAGATTTTGTAATTAGTATTTTGTATAAGTCAGTAAATGTGGGCACATTGGCCGTATGTGCCAAGGTTTCTAGAAGCTCCTGCCCCTGCTCTCTAATGGGATTTTGCTAGTGGCAGCGCAGCCAAGTAGAACACACTGAGTCTAATGGGACCGCAGCTAAGCTCCTTAGGGTCCAGCTAATTTAGGTTGGAGGGATTGGCACTAAACAAACAACTGGGAAAAATAGTATTTTTATCCCATTTTTCTTACCAGGGTACCTGAACTGCAGCACTGCGTTCTCCTGCACTTCCTCCCTTCCAGATATACTGTCAATACAATGCTTTCCTGCAAATTACTTCCTACAAGCACTTCAATGCACCATGAAGGAATTGTTTTCCTGAGTACCTGGTTGCAACTGCATTATCATGCAAGAATAACATACCTTGAACATTTTAAGGCAACTAAATGTGATCGATTTGGATTACCAAGTTTGTAGTCCGCAAATTGACTTTCATTCTGTACTGACATGACTTAAACACAGTGGCTTTGGGAGTTTGTCTGAGATACCTAAACCACTGAAAGAAGGTGGTTAGTTAATCTTCAGATAATGAAGACATACTTCCTTTTGTTAACTATGTATTGCTGAATAGGCAACATGATTTATAGAAAAGCTTTTCACCCTCACAGCTGGAATAATGATCAAAATGCTGAAATGCAACTGTAATATTCATTCAGTATTACTATTTTATATGAAGTCTCATTCTATATCTGTATACCTACTGGTAAATGCTTTGCAGAAGTCTCCTCTAAGGCAGTTTAAGTTGTTAAATAAATCAAATTAAAGGATCGGTGTGTGGTGCCCTGGTGATCCCTGTGAGCAAGTTAGAGCATAGCATGGTTATCATGTGGAAATCCCTGAAGTCGGTGTCTTATTCTAGTTTCTATTCTACTTGTGCCATTAGTAAAAGGTTAAATGAACAACCTGTTTAACTCTAGATTAACTAGGCTCTTTTCACACCTGGATTACTAAACATACTCTGAAGTGGTTCAAGTGGGCTCTTGAATGCTCTGCAGTTCAGACATTTTAGGCTATGTAAAATAAAGACTTTTGGTTGGGCTAAAACATGCATAGTGAAAATTCAGACAAAGGACATAGTAAGCCCTGGATCAATTTTAATATTGAACAGTCGTAAAACCAGACCTTTTCTCCCCTTCTGCTTTTACTCAGAAAGTCAAAAGAGGAGTATGATGAGGAAATGTCCAGGAGGCTGCTATTAGAGGGGGAGGTTGGTTCCACCTCCAGCAGCTGCTCTGATAAGCCAATGGCAGACAGCAGTGAAGCCCAGAATACCACCTCTGCTCCCAGCCAACAAAGCAATACTGCCAAGGTAAGGTATCAAGATTTGTATGAGCCAAATGCAGACCAGCCAAACTGTGGAACCTTACATGAACCCAGTGAGGCTTTTCCTCCTGGCTCCACCAACAAGAAACCTCAGTGAAAGATGGGGTAGTTACCTTTGTTATTTTTTTGTTGCATGCTATTTATTCCATGCGAAGGCCAAAGCTGAGGGGAATGGTGACAGCCGCAGCAGTAACGGTCACCACACCCCACTAGTGAATGGAAACACGGCCACTGATTTTAATCTGGTAACTGAACCATCCATGTAGTAATATTTTAACCGCTGACCTAACCTAAGTACACCACAGTTTACTGCCCAATCTAAGGTTGCATTAATACCATTTCAGCAGTATCTGTAATGGCTAACTGAGTGAGAAGGTTAGGTAAATGTGTAAACTGGGTTTGTGAATTGGGTTGAAAATCAAGATCCTTTTGTTAGATGTTTGGCATGGTAGGCATGCTCTTGGTAACAGGTGAGCATGAGGGATTTTCTCTGATAACAAAATGTATGGTACACAAGTGTAAGATGTATATTCACAACCTAGGTATCAGTGCATCCTGAGGGCAGATGAACTTTTCAGTTTTATAGCCTGCGTAGTGGTAGATCCGTTGATGTAGTAGCTTTGTAGTTTTAAAAAGCCCATGTCATATCAATAGATTAAAACCAATTGAAAAACATGGCTTTTGTTTTTCTGTAAGACATACTGATGTCTTGAAGTATCCAATCCGAGGACTGTATGTGCTGTTGTAGCTGCTGCTTTCCAGCATTAGCATGTTGCTAATAGTGGGCTTGATTTAATGCAGTGTCATCTGTAATACATTAATGCTTGTGGGTCTCTCCCTCCAGGTCAACGGCAAACCTGTCAGAAAAGAAGAGAGCAAGACGGCTGGAGGAGGAGATGGGAAAAGTGCGGCTAAGAGCAGCTCCACATCTAAACCCACACCAGGTAACTCAGAAGAGCTTCAGACTCTTCACCACCAACACTTAAATAAATCCAAATCATACTTTTCAAAATCTTTTGAAGGAAAATGTGGGTTACAGGCAATGTATCAAGTTCGGATGCATTCCACACTTTATACATTTCATGTATTAAGTGCAGATAAATAGTTAAACTCAGGTTTGTCCGAAGCTGCAAGTTACCAAACTGATTTAAATATGTGTGTGTGCAGGTTGTGGCAGTAATGGTGTAGAGTCCAGAGTCCTTCCAGCAGTGAGAGCTCCAGTAAAGTCTGGTGTATCATCGGTGAGCCTCAGTCCAGACACCAAGGATCAGAGCAGCAGCCAGACTGCCGCCGAGGCGTGGCTGGAGGAGGCACACAGGGAGGCTGGCTTCTCTAAGCCATATACTGTGAGTGTGCCAGCTCGCTACATACAGTACATGCCCTCATGACCACAATCAAGTGAAGAAACTTTTTAATGTCTCACTGTTTCATAATTTTAGTTTGCACACCACCATGTCAGAGTTGAACTGTAGAAAATAAACATTCTTCTAGATGGTTCATTTAAAAATAAAAGCATTAACTTAGCAAAATCCATAGTGTTTCCAAAATCTAAAGTTTACCTTCTCCTTCACTTTCCTCCAGGAATTGTCGGCGTCTCAGCAGGAGCAGCTCCAGCAGAGGGCAGCATATCTGCGTCAGCAGCGAGACAAACTGCATGCGCTGAAAAAAGAACAGCAGAAACCCCTGCAGACGCCCACACCAGAGGAGGCACCCACCACAGCCCCGGTAACTATAGCTGTTATATTTCCGTTCATGAAGAGGTCCGGGGTCAGGATCAACCACCTGATTGTTGCGGAACATGTAGCAGAATGTGACTTTATTTGGAGAATATTGAATTTTTCTGGTCTGATTACATTTTACTAGATGTTAAATGTTATTACTGCCAGTATTTACTATTACTCTATATAAAGTCACTAATAAAAATACTGTATTAGTAGTAGTTGTGTCTCTGTTTTCACAGTAAATTGTGCTAGGACCTGATTTAGACTTAATATCCATACTTTTCATTTTGGTCATATTTTTTTTTTTTATTCTAAAACTACATCTTTGATTTTGCTGGATTTTCTTTAACCCACATTTTTCCTCCTGATTTTTTCTTTTGTTTTCTTTGTATCATCCTTCTGACCTTTTTTTTTCATTGGGTTCTTGTTCTTCATTTCCCTCTGCCTGTATCTGACCTGGTCTGGCCTGTCAGGAGGCAGTGGGCCAGTCCCAGAGGAATGGGGCCTGTACCCCTCCTCCTCCTCCCCATCCTCCTCCAGCACATCACTCTGCTAACTCCTCCAAACCGAAGGTGATCCATCAGCTGCCTCTGCCTGATGTGAACACTTGTACTCATTCATGCCTAGTATGTTGCTAAGGTTTTGCTGTGTAGTGCCTTCTCCCCTCTGTCGTGCTCAGTCTCGTGCACACTTAACTGGAAGTCCTCAGTCTCAAGCACAGAAAAGGCTGCAGCTCTTTTACTCCAGTTAATGACTTATTAAGGCCACAAATGTGTGTACACTGTGGATTGATGCTATTTGTATGCTTGAGGTTTTGAATTGGAAGCTTGCATTTTAGATGTATAAAGTTTTATAAATATGATTATTTGACAACACATCGAAAACCTCGAAAATCCAGATGTAGCATACAGTAGCCATATTCCCAGCTGTTTTCACTTAGTTGTCTAGCCACTACAATATGTGTGGTTGGTTGTGTTTTTGTCGTCTTTACCACCGCTTTTCCCCTCCTTGAACATTTTGTCCTAGGCCACTGGTGGTGATTATTATGTTATCTGTCTGGTTGTTAACCCTACTGCCTGGTTTGGTCTCTTTACGCAGGAGATATCTGCAGAGGAGAGGAAGAAGCTCCAGAAGAGAAAACATCTGGCTGACAAGCTGAAAGAGGAAGTGATTAAGAAATGACTTCTCGTCCAACTGCAATATTCTCATTTATATCTTACATCTGTTTACTGTTAATCAAACACATGGCTTCCTTTACACTACTCCTTCAGCCAGATAATTCACTTCCTGTAACACAAATCAGGGTTTTTCCAAAGAGAGATAAAAAGAATCAGATCTTCCTTCTGCAGAGTTCTTTCCATTGCTGTCTAGAGGAAGAAGGTACACCTCCTTTTATATTATGGATGTACCAGTATGTGTTGCAGTCTCCACTCATAAGAAAGCACTCAAATATTCTGTTACACAGTTGCATGTGTGTGACTGAGGTTCAGAAAATGGCAGCAGACTGAAAAGCACATGGATCAGTCAGGACAATGTCACAAGGCTTCCTGATGGCTTTTAGCTGATTTTTACTTTACAGCACTAGAAACCTGAGCTGTGTCACTGGGTGCACAATATTTCCTTTAATGACACTTTGCAGTGTCCTAATTGTAAGGGCATAAAATCCCATATTGGAATAAAAATGTTTTCACAGAATGTACACTACCTGCTCAGAAATCTTACAATGCAGTGCTTCACTATTGATAATGTGTAAATGTTAATTATGCAACACTACACTGGTCAGTATGAGGTAATGAAAACCATTTTTCTGCTCAATTTATTATGTAGGAAACGCACACTAGCACAAGTGTACAGTCTCATTTTTCCATTGTTGTTAGCATTCCCAGAGGGAAGAGTTAGCTGGTACATCATATAGCTGATAACACTGTAGCAGCTCATCCTAGTCAAAGAGCACCGTGGAAGTTGTCCTTCATGTGTTCATTAAAAGGGGCCAAGAGAACAGTATGTCGCTTTCTACAAGGAATTCAGTATTTCATGTATGCCGTTTAATAAATCACATTTTATAGAAACGACATGGACTCCAGACTTTGTGTGCATAAAAACTGTAAAGCTACAGGCAGTTAGTTGCTAATCTCGGCTCGATCTTATTTTAATCTAGAAAAAGGGGCCTTAGTGTTTTGGAGAGCCAAATGGGATTTATTACCCACACTTCATTGACAAATACCTAAACGAGCAAGTTTCCTGCTACAAAAACATATCAAAACATAGTTACTTGTAAAATAATTTCTTATAGCAAGAAAGAAAAGCATTACCATTCCAAGAAATGGAATATTTTAGGAAATATCCTAAAATTTGCACAAATATTAGGTTGCAATATCAAGTGTCAATTTTGGAAGATTCTATCAGATACAACCAGCTGGACTGTAAGGAACAGTCCAGGATCAATTAGAAATTTTGTAGCTCCAATTGCCAAATCGGTAAATTAAAACAAAGCTTGATTCAACAAGTTCAATGTCAGGGTCACATTTAATTTCAAAACTTATCAAATAAATTCATACAAATGTTAAGAATGGATAGTGGTAGTAAATGCACTTGGTACAAATTCATCAAGGGAGAGCAAAAACATTTGGGTGACGCTAACAGACAGGAGGAAAGACAATTGGCTGCTCATGTACTGCTGAACTCCTGAAAAGCACATTGGCCATGATAACTTTACTTGTGCTCCTACCCTGCTGCTGTTTGTGGTTTAGCTCAGAAGCTGCAGACAAAGGTCTGCGTGATCTCTAGCATTTCGTTAAGCAAATTTTGATTCCCTTCATCTGCCGCTCAGTGTGCTTGGTGAGACCAGGGAAGAAGATACAACACGAGAAATGTTTCAACCCGACACTGAAATGTCTCACTGCCTTCTGACAAAGTCAAACCTGTGTGTTGTGCCTGAAATACTCCAGTTTGATTAAAAACTGCACTGCATCGACATTGGGGTTAAATCATCTTCTCTTCATCAACTAATAAAAACAGCTCATCAGATCATGTAGTTTGAATTAACTAAAAATATTTGTATGAGTCGTTTGTATGAACAGGCCAAATAAAACTGTAAAACAAATGTGAATATTTCTGAGCTGGATCAAACTGGTGCTGAAAATTCTGGACCTTCAAACAGGGATAGAAGCCCCTTATGTCTTACTAGAATCCTGCTCCATTCACTTATAAATGTGAGATGTTTCACCAGCTAGCAGTGTTACAGTGCACATATGGGTATCTTTCTGTTTCTGATGCAAATTGAACTCTGAACCTGAGATCTGTCTGAGAGAAGAAGAGTGTGCACTAAATCTACTCTAAGCACACCAACAGCTCAGGTTTATCACCCAGTAAACACAAAAACTGGGCTCTGTGTGCATCATAATGAGGCCACTAAATTCTTAAATCCACTAAAAATACAAAACTCCGGACATCCCCAATATGTTGGCTGCAAAAATGACTTTACTGCAGTTTTAATATGTTATTTTTAAAACCAGCATTTGCAACTTCTCTGCATTTTACATTGAATCAAATGAACTGGACTGAAAGGGTGAACAGTGACCCCCACCTTTTGTGCAACAACAACAAAAATACACAGGTAGGTAGGTATCTCGCTCCCCTTTGAAAATCAGATCAGGGGCAAATGATTAAAAAGAAGGAAAAAAATCATCTGTACAGTACTTTAACAAAATTCATGAAATACAGGATTTCTGGCTAACGCAGTCCTGTGTGTGTGAGACGTCGTGTGTGTTTTTGTGTGTGCCTTGGCCAAACTGACGCCATGGCTTTTGAAGGTTTGAGTCCTGCTCCTCTGGATCTAAGCCTCATTACTGCCGAGTTTTCATCCTGGTACATTTTGTAACCTCCCTTGTCTCTCAACATTTTGTTTAATTCTTCTATGTTGCCTAGATCCCTCTATCCCCAACAAAAGTGAACAGTTCTGTGGCAGGGCAGCAGACACTACTTCAGCCAGTCAAGCTTTCTATAACTATGACGGCTAGTCCTGCTAGCCTGACTGGCCTGCTGAACAGTTCATACACTGGCTGGTTGTGTTCTGACTTCCTCTGTCTCTGGAGCTCATTGGTTCGGGTTCGAGAAGGATGGAAGGGAGACCGTTCAGATGAGGACATGTGAGGGTTCCTGTGGGGTTGCTGAAGTACCTCAGCTTCCTTGCTGCTGTTGCTATAGCAACAGAGCAGAGTAGGGAACCGCCTTGGCACTGTTATTTCCACCGCAGCCGCTCTGGTCGGTACGTAGGATGGTGGACGAGGAAGAGAAAGTTGTTCAGAAGGAGGTGAGAACCGAGAGCAGGAGAGTGTTATGAAAGAGAGGAGGGATAAGTTTGCAACGGGTCAATGAGTTTCCCCTCAGGAGAAAGACAGGAGAGTTTGGGATCTCGTAGAGGAGGCTGTTGGTAAAATGAAGAGGTAAAATCAACGGGCCAAAGAACAGACTGTCTTTCTTTCCAAAGAGAAGCTCTTCATCTCCTTCCACTGAGGGAGAAAAGAGGAGCAGAGATCAGGAGGGACTGAGTGAGGTGGGAGCTCGTCTTTGCCTGTCTCCTCCGTGAGACTGACAGGTGGCACAGGCAGGCCAAGGACCAATGAGACGACCAGAGGAGGGAGGATGGGAGGGACTCAGTGTCCGTCCACAACGACCAAACAGGACAATTAGCCTTAAGAGCTCAAACGGGGCCGCTTCCTTGGAGACTGCTCTTCCTCCTCATCTTCTTCCTCTTCATCCTCGTCGTCAGGGTAGTCCACCAAACCAACCAGAGCAGTCTAAGAGAAACAGGAACAATGATTAACAGGAAAAAAAGTGTCTTAATCAAGAGTTGAGTTCAGTAAATAACTGGATTAAAACACAGCGATCTCACACTCGGATCAAAACATCACAGCACTACTTGTAGAGATGCATTACCTTCACAACTGGTGTGGCAGGAAGAGCAACTGTTTTGACAGAGGAAGTTGAACTGTTGTTTGGAGTGACGGCTTGTGAGGCAGGTGGGATTACAGCAGCTTTCCCATTGTTGTTGGCACCATTAGCTCCATTGGCAGCTCCTGCAGTAACAGAGACCGTACATATCGAACTTACTGTTGCAATCCGCAAAACGTTTCAAGCCAGATACATTTAGTAAAAGCATACCTTTTTTGGCTTCCATGTACTTGCCGTAGCTGTCAGAGAAGTCATCCTCCATTCGGCTCTTCTCCACAGCTTCTCCATCATCGTCGTCGTCGTCATCATTGAACCACAGCTCCTCATCTTCGTCCAACGACCGTGCATCTCTGCGATATCTATGGGGGAAAATTGCTCAATGAAAAAAAACAGTTTTCTTCCTGTATGATGGAGCAGACAACTGGAAATATTAAAAAAAGTAATAACATCTGTAAGACAAAGACCACTGCAATGCTTTGACCTTTGTTTCCAATCAGTGTACTGACCTGTTGAGTCTCTGACTCTGCCTGTCTTTTTCCTGCTCGTACCGGCCTTTCAGGCCCTTGAAAGTCTGGACGTACTCAATGGATTCAAGTGCTTTGTAGAAGTTATCCACAATGTGAGCTATGAGAGACTTGATGTCCTCCTGGAACGAGAACACATGGCAGAAAATCACAAACAATACACTTTCAGTGCCACATGCATACACTCTACACTAATGAACACTTTTTTATTACACACTGTTTTATGTGTCTACATACCACTTTAATGAACTCAAAGAGCTCTATGATGGCTGAGTTGAGGAGGTTGTATCGGGTGCCGTTGTCCAACAGAGCATTAATGACAGGCTCAAAAAGGTTCCCTTTGATGATGTAGCGGTTGTAGTACTCATCCTTCAGACCAATGATCCTGCGCATGAAACGCAGGGCACCTTGGAACAAAACAGACAATGTAGTAAAAAAGAAGCTGTAACTTCTTGGGAAGAAGTAATTCAAAAAGTAAGATAACCATTGATAGAACACTTAGAGAAGCAAAGACATGGATTCAGTCAAACAGACGGCAAACCATATGTCATGTTAGTGGATGAGAGCAGGACGATAAAATTAGACGAGGCCGGCAGAGAATACTTGAAAAAGTAGGCATTGCTGTCCAAAGATTAAATATTTTTACTTTTTACGGTTCTCCACCACAGAATTTTAAATGGATGTTACACAAGGAGAATACATGGGCAATACAATGAGATGTTATTAATGAATAAATTACATACAATATTATACACTAAATAATTAATAAAGTCATTGTAAACGATTAAACATCACCATAGCAACACATCGCCATGCATGTTTCGTTTTGTTGCCCAGCCAGTCTGTTTTTCCTGTGCTGTCCGCCTGCAGTCTACCATCTGAGTTCATGTGAATGGAAGGAAAGGTGTGTGAATGTGTGTCAACCATTTATGTGGGGACTTACAAAGAGCAAGGAAGGTGTGTTTTGAGTTCATGAGCACCAGCACTCTCCTAAGCAGGTCTTTGTTCATGATGTAGGTCTTGATGTGATATGTGTGGTGCTCCACACAGAAGGTCAGAAGCTCCAGGATCAGTGCCAGCAGCTGAGCTGTCTGGAAGTTGTCTACACAAAATAAACAAAAAATATTTCACACCAGGACATTACGAAAATGCAATTCAACATTTCCAAAATTCACATGAAGCTGCAGACTATACCTTACAGTCTCTGCCACTTTTCCAAACAAGCCAGATCATTTTTAGTTAATCAATTTAAACCAAGTGTGCAATCCTAGAATATACAATTATATTTTCTAGTCAAATTTTTTTCAAACAAAACATCGGTTATAACACTTCTCAGCTCTTGAAGTGTTCTTCATAAGATGTATGAAATAACAGCCACAGCATCATTCAAGCAATTACGAAGAAGTCCTAGTCATTTATTTCTCCCTTTTCTAGTAGGTGCAGGTAAAAGAAGTGTGACACTGGGGTGAAATTTAAATATAATGTTCTGCTCCAATAACAGTCATTTCCAGCAAACTCTGATAGTTCGTGGTTAATGTTGAGTTACATAACACCCACCTGGACAGACTGGATTGACCTTAGCTGATCCCTCCTGC